CTAACTGGTTGCAAATTTCATTTGTAAGTGCTGACCTGTAATGAAAGATTACATATTGCTTCTTTTTCTGGTGAGGTGTGGTTGATGTACAGTATTATGTTTCAGGTGTATGACACAGTGATTCACAGTTCTAAAGGTAACATTTCATTTAAAGTTATTGTAAAATATTAGCTATATTCCCTGTGTTGTACATAGTGATTCTTTTTTCAGTATAGATAAAGATGGTTAATTGCTATTAATCCACAACTTATGATTTTAATTGAGCATATTTATTCTCATATGGAGAAGGAAATGGCAACCCACTCCAGTATTCTTGTCTGGAGAATTCTGTGGACAGAGGAGCCTGGTGGGCTGCTGTCCATGGGGTCACACAGAGTTGGACTTAGCAGCAGCAGCAGCATTCTTTTTTTTTTTAATTGTTTTATTTTATTTATTGGACATACATCATGTGGGATCTTAGTTCCCCAACCAGGGATGGAACCCATGCTCCCTCCATTGGGAGCTCAGAGTCTTAACCACTGGAACACCAGGGAATCCCAGCATTCTTATATAATTAGATTCATCTTGATATTTGTCTTTTAGTATGTCATTACACTGCAGATTAATCACTTATTAGAGATTACCTGGAAGATCCTCAATTAAAAGTTAAAAACAAAGTTAAATGGATTTTGAAATATGGAACTGTTCTTTCCACTTGCACCAATATCTGTCAAACTGCTGGAACTGCAGTTCAGAAATCATTCAGAAAATATATCTGCTGCAGATTTATGTGGGAATGGACATCCTGCTTCTTGTTTTATCTTTTGACAGCATGGGAAGTGTATTGAGCAGCTTGCTATTACTTGTGACTCAGTTTGTTGAAATGACTTTATCACAGAATAAATTTCACATAATTGCCATCTTGCCTTGTAATTTTAGGTTGACCTCACTAAGAAACAATATCAAGTCTGCAACAAAAACTAATTTCCAAAGCCACTCAGTGTTTGAGCAAAGTACTTGAGGACAGTTTCGGAGAGAAAAATGTTATCACAGCTCCAATCTTGATTCTACTTCAGTAACTACAAACTCTGCTCTGGCTTCTCAAATAAATAGCAACAATTGAACAGTATCAGCAATATCTGTAGGTTCATTAATTCTGGGAAAACCACTCAAAATCATTTGCCTTGTTTTTTAATTGATTATTGATCTCTCTCCCAGTGTTTTCAAGTCTCTGAGCAATTGTTCTCATCAGTATAATAGTTTTCAATAAATTTTAGATTGTATGGGCTAGGAGGCAGAATCGAGTAAATTATTTGGGTACTTACTTTCTGCATATTTATTTTTTAATGTTGAAAAGAAATTTATTAAATTTATTCTGGGGGAAAGCTGCTACATATTTTTTAAATGAGTGGCGGCTGCTACAGTTTATTCTTGTGTCGTTTGTGTACAATCACCAATTAGTGTGAATGACAAGGCGTCCAAACAGCTTGGTTTCCTATTAACCCCACTGACTGAGGACAACTTCATCATGTTGAAGAAGAAAAATCACTAGAAATCAGACCAAGAAGTGTTCACCGCTAGAGGGCTTTTTGCTGACGTGCAATCTATGGAATTCTCCAGGCAAGAATACTGGAGTGGGTTGCTATTCCCTTCTCCAGGGAATCTTCCCAAAATAGGGATCGAACATGTGTGTCTTGCATTGGGCAGGGACTTCTTTACCATCTGAGCCACCAGGGAAGCTCTTAAATGGATTAGTAGGTCTCTAATTTGGAGTCTCTAATTTGGTATAACATCTAACTTCATTTCTGTGCAGACCATCAATTAGCAAATGTCTTCTAACCTGACAATCATTTTAAAAACAAACCCTTAGTTGATCATGAAAACACACCTTTGAACACATGACTTTAAAACCCATTGTTCTGCCCACTTTGAAATGTATTTTTTTCACCCTGACATTGTCATGTCATCAATTTTAAAATAATAATTTCATTATCATTGATTGATTGCACTGATGCTTAGTAGCAGGAACCTGTGGTCTATCTTCATCATGAAAGGTTATAAAGAGTAACTTTGGAACTTCAATAATGGCCAGTGAGAAGAATATTTCCCCCTCCACCATAAGTCAGTATTTTTGGAAGTACTGTCCAAGTTGTTTGACATCCCTTCTGCATAGGGACATTCTGCATCCCTAACCACTGGCTAGGAGGTGTGAAATTTATCTTTAAGCAGAAGGATTTCAATTGGTAATTGTGGAGAGATTATGAAATCTTCCTTTTCTCCTTGGACAGTCAACACAAGACAGGAAGGCTAAGATTCCTTCTGAGTCTCTAAAGGTCTTTTTCTTCATTTTTAAATTTTTTGGCCACACTGTGAAGTATACAGGATCTAACCCCAGCCAGGGATCGAATCTTCATCCCCTGCAATGGATGCACGGAGTCTCAACCACTGGACCACCCAGAAAACCCCTAAAGATCCTTTCTAAAAAGCCCATTCCATTGGCATTTCTTAGCGAATCATAAGCTCATCTGGTCTTGACACTTTGTAAAGTTCTCTTTCACCCACTCATCTCACCAGCTGAACTACCTGGCAGATTTAGGATTCTTATTCCCAGCCAAGTCTTTGGGTGAGGTCCGGGCCTTTCATGAGCGCTACTTTGATAAGAGAAAGGAGTTGGGGAAAGACACCTGAGTGTGGGTGTTGGCTGGGAGTGAGGCGTATTAAGGATGCTGACAACAAACCACAGGTTTGTTGACTCAGGCTAGGAGCTGGGACCCTTTGCTGCAGTGCTTGCATCTAGATAAACATCTCCTCTGGCAACAGAATACAAAGAAACTATAAGCGACTAAAAAATAACTACATGCGTGCTGCAGTTGGGACAAATTACAAACAGCAAGACACAAAAAGACCAACAACCCAACTGCCACTTCTGAGGTTCCCCAGCACGTGCAGTGTCCTGGGCATGATTCCTGCACACGGTGCCGCCAAGGGGATGGGCAGACCACCGGGCCACCACTCTCCCCAGAGCCCTGGACCTGCCCCTACCCTCATCCACTTAAAGAACCAGCTTGCCGCTACCCCCCACCCCATGGAAGGAGTAAGGGGACCTGTTACTTTTCTCTCTCCTGTTGTAGCAGAAGTCCCAATACAGCTTTGCCTAAATTTCTCATCTGGCCTCTTCTGGCCTCATCAATTTCTATTGATTAGAGTCCAAGGACCCAGGTTGGTAGCTACCATTTTGCGCAGCGTCAGCCGCAAGTGGAAATGCCAGACCCGCCCCGCCCCGCCCCCCGCCAACCTTTCTTGGTTATGCCACCATCATCCTTACTGTAAATATATTCTAAACTCCCATTAAGTATATTCTCCATTGAACCCGGCTGAGTGGAGTTGACAGCCGGCCCTGCAGTGCCCCCTAGCGCCACCTTAGGGAGGCGGACCGGCCAAGACGTGAGTGCCCGTCAGCTGCGAGTCTGGGGCCACAGCCCCTCCGCAGGGCCTGAGGAGCGGAGGCGGCGGACACAAAGCTCGGGTTTCGACGGCGAGGAGGGTCACTGGGCCCCACTCCCGCGGCGAGGTCGCTGGGCGGCCAGGCACTGGCTGGGCGGGGCGGGGCGGGGCGGGGCGGAGCCTGGACGGCGGGAGCGCCTAGTCCGGCTGGCGCCCTCGGAGCCGCCCGGGGCACGGTGGGGTCTCGAGGCCTGCGGCTCGCGGGCGACCGGACAGTCGGGCGAACACGATGCGCTCCGCGGGAGAGGGCAGCGGGACCACTCCCGCGGGCGGACTCGGCGAGGAACCCGGAGCCTGCGCCGCGCGGGGAAGAGGGCGGGGACCGTCAGGCCGCGCGGGCTCTTTAAGACCGTATCCGTGCTAACGCCGACTGTGAGTAACCTGGCCCCAGGTCCCGGGAGAAACCGTGAGTTGGCTTGGAAAAAACAGACGGATGAGAGTTCAGATCTCTGGGCGTGGAATTTGGGGAAGTTATGAATGGCGGCCGGGGCGGGGAGGGGTGTGGGTGGTGGTGTGCGACTTTGATCCAGACCCCAGGTACCTTGTAAATGTTAACAGGGCTCCTGGAGAGGGCGGTGAGACTAAGCAAGAACAAGTTCCAAAGGGAGGAGAGCCCCCGCCTGGCTCAGGGCCCACACGGTGTAGTCCTTCATGATCTCGGTAAGGCCTAGAGCTTGTGAACAGGTGGGCTGGATTCAAGATCCAGGAAGCTTTAGGCCACTGCGGTGGTCGGAGCGGCAGAGGAATCCACCACTGTGGGCTCTGGGAGGCCTGGGGGCTTCTGGTTCTTAAGGAAGTTTCCTGGACGGAGAGGTGGAGCTGTGCCTGCCTTCAGGCCCGGCTCACCAGTGGGGCATCCTGCAGCCCCCTAAGGATCTCAGAGAGCACAAGGGCCGGGGTGGAGAGGTGACTGGTGGCGCTGCGTCTCCTTGGCTCCCACTGGGGGTTGGTCTACCCGGCACTGGGGAAGAGGAGAGGCTGGGTGGTCTGATGGCACAAGGTGTGCCGAATGAGGATTGTGAAGTCACAGAGGAGGTGGGGTGCTCCAGCCGGGCCTGGGGCTGAGCCGGGGCAAGAGGAGGGAAGGTGTTGCCCGGGCAGACCTGTGGAAGGGAGCCTCTGGGATCAGCGGGGCACACCTGGTGCCCACGGTGGACTCATGAGTCGGGTGAGGCCACCCTGGCCCAAGGGTCCTCTTTCCCCTCTTTCTCAGGAACGCAGACAGTTCTGTGGTCCACATTCTGGAAACCTTAAACACCACCCACACCATGTGGAAGGAAAGCAGTTGAGAGACTGGGTGGCACATCCAGTTGCCCCCCTTCCCCGCCCCCAGACTCCCGGGCACACCGCCCCTGCCCTGTCTAGCCCCAGCTCTGTGAGCTTTCTGTTCCTCCTGAGGAGCTGACCTCCAGGACTTGGGGTTCCGGGACTCCGGGGAGTGTGCGCCGGAGAGCAGAGGCGTCCTGAAGAGCACCACTGACTCCCACCCTCCTCCTACTCCAGATGCAGGGGCCTCCATGGCTGTGATAAGCCTTCTGTTCTTGGCAGTGATGTACGTCGTCCACCACCCCTTGCTGGTCAGTGACCGGATGGACTTGGACACGCTAGCCAGAAGCCGGCAGCTGGAAAAGCGGATGAGTGAGGAGATGCGCCAGTTGGAGCTGGAGTTTGAAGAGAGGAAGCGAGCAGCGGAAGAAAAGCAGAAGGCAGAGAACTTCTGGAGAGGGGACACCTCTGGTGACCAGCTAGTGCTGGGGAAGAAGGACAGGGGGTGGCCGTTCCAGGTGGATGGCCAGGAGGGCCCCCTGGGCTGGATGCTAGGAAATCTGTGGAATGCTGGCCTCTTTTGCGTTTTTCTCATTTTTGAGCTCCTGCGACAGAACATGCAGCACGAGCCAGCTTTTGATTCCAGCAGCGACGATGAGGAGGAGGAGGTCCGGGTGGTGCCAGTCACCTCCTACAACTGGCTCACTGACTTCCCCTCCAGGGAGGCCCTGGAGTCCTTCCACAAACACCACGTCCAGAACGTCACGAGGGACCTGCCCTGCACCTGCGAGTTCGTGGAGAGCTTCGTGGATGACCTCATCGAGGCCTGTCGGGTGCTCAGCCGCCGGGAGGCTCACCCGCAGCTGGAGGACTGCCTGGGCATCGGGGCGGCTTTCGAGAAGTGGGGAACCCTCCATGAGACCCAGAAGTTTGACATCCTGGTGCCCATCGTCCCCCCACAGGGCACGATGTTTGTGCTGGAGATGAGGGACCCGGCCCTCGGCCGCCGCTGTGGCTGCGTGCTGGTGGAGTCAGAATGCGTGTGCAAGCGCGAGAAGCTGCTGGGGGATGTGCTGTGCCTTGTGCACCACCACAGGGACCACTCGGCCCTCGTGGGGAAGTCCAACAGCTCCGTCAAGGCGGCGCTCTGCACCGGCTCCCACCTGGACGTGTACAAGACTGTCCAGTGGTTCCGGAACATGGTGGGCAATGCCTGGGCCCTTGTAGCCCACAAGTATGACTTCAAGCTGAGCTTGCCACCGTCCACCACCTGCTGCAAGCTCAGGCTGGACTACCGCTCAGGACGCTTCCTCTCCATCCGCCTGGTCCTGGGGGTGCAGCGGGAAGACACCTTGGTCTACCTGGTGAGTCAGGCCCCCGGCCAGGAACAGCTCACCAGCGTGGACTGGCCCGAGTCCTTTGCAGCCTGTGAGCACCTGTTCCTAAAGCTGGTTGGGCGTTTTGCTCCAGAGAACACCTGTCACCTCAAGTGCCTCCAGATCATTTTGAGTCTCCGGGACCTTCAGAGTTTACCCCAGGGGGCGTCCCGCCCCATCCTCACCTCTTACCACTTCAAGACAGCCCTCATGCACCTGTTACTGCGGCTCCCCCTCACAGACTGGCAACACAGCATGCTCTCCCAGCGACTCCAGGACATCCTCTGGTTCCTGGGCCGAGGCCTCCAGCAGAGGTCTCTCCGTCATTTCCTCATCGGTAACACCTTCCTGCCCCTGACCATCCCGATTCCCAAGACATTTCGGAATGCTGAGCCTGTCAATCTCTTCCAACACCTGGTGCTAAACCCCATGGCACATTCACAGGCAGTGGAAGAGTTCCACAACCTTCTGACCCAGGTGAAAGCTCTGCCCTGTTCCTCGCTGGCCGGGGCACACTGACTCGTATACAGGACATTAAAAAGGGGGAGACGGTATTTCTGAGTCCTCAGGCGGCAAAGAGTTTTATTTCTCAGACACATCAGCGGGATGTGTGACCTTCACCTTGCCAGTAGGGGGTTATGATAGATTAAGACACTTAGGTATATATGAAGCAGTTATGAGGAGGGGTCCAGCCTGCAGGGGCTAATCTAGGGTGGGTCTTTGAAGTTTTCTTCTCCTGACTTAACTTTCATCATGACCCAAAGAGGGCCCGGGGAAATGGATGTTATGGGATTGTCTTGCTGCTAAAGAGTTGAGATCTGGAGGGGACCGTGCAGCTGCGGTGTGTAGCAACACTGGAAGTGAAAGGACCAGAGAACACCTCCATTCCAGCTTATTCTTTGTGTGTGTGTGTGAATGACTCCGCATACATCCCTTGTGAACTGGCTTCCTTCTTGAACTCAGCCCAATTCACAGCCAAGCTGGTAGCACCCCATTTTATCCCAAATACCGTTATGGCAGCAGCTTGTTATTTTAGGATCAGAGTTTTCAGACCTTCATTATTTGAGGATGTTTATTTGCCCTTTTCTTCATTTAGTCCTTCTCCATGTTATGTGAAATATAATATAGCTGTTTTATGCATCTGAAAAAAACTCCAGTGCTACCCAAATAACTTATTAGCATTGATTCACAAACAAATATTAAGCCAACAGTGGCTTGTCCCATAATTGAGATGATGTGTATTCTAAAGTTAATGACACTGTCAACATCTGATGGCCAACTTCGGGCCTGGAAACATCAAAAAACCCTTCAGGAGGACAGTCTCTTGGGAGGCTTAGAGATGAACAATTACTGTTTCTGAGGGGAGTCACTTATGTGTTAAATGGAAAGAATGTGCTTCTTTTCAGTCTGGTAATGCCTTTGTCTTCTTTCTTCAAAGATGACAAGGTTTTATCTGAACTATGTCTGTGGGTTTGCAAAGCGGGGTCATTGCAATCCAGGCCCATTGCCAGGGCTGGACAGGAAGGGGCTGTGAAGCTGATCAGCTCTAAAAGCCATGATTCCAGAGGTGTGATTGGTATATTTCCCCTTCTTTCAAAACCCTGGGTATCCTAGGGAGGAGCATTAAGAAATGTGAGACTAGTTGTGGGTGTGGTTGTTTTGGAAATACCAGTGCCATTCCTAGCCAGCACTCCAGCACTGCCAGGAGAACCGGGCCCACATTTACCTTGACCTTGGGTGGGGGGAGCTCTGGGGGAGTTAGATGCTGGCCGCAGAGGCTTTGGTTATAGAATCCACACCCTCCCTTCCACAAAAATAAATGACAAGGGTCCCAGATGCTGATGCCAGCCAATATTTAGGGCCCCCACTGCTGCCCAATAGCTGCTATGTTCTCACGTTGTCTGCTGGTATCGGCCAGGTACTGCTTTCAAGTTCAGATGCAATGATCTTGGTTCTCTGCTGGTGGGATTCTGGTGTTTTAAAAACATCCATATGCTTTTGTTTAGAAAGTAATTTGCTGATGTTTTACTTCCAAATCAATAAAGGAGACTATTTTCTGTATCAGTTGGAATCTGTGCAGTAACACACAGCCGATCAGCCTGTCTCTAAGAAGTTATGTTATCCTGAAAGCTTCATCCAGCACCTCCTGGTGTTTCTCAGTTTATGTTGAGCCAGTCTGCCCTGTGGTTTCCCATTAGTGCGGCCAGTAGCCAGGAAGGAATAATTCAGAATCTTAAGTAACACCTAAGTTATACATTTTCAGGATGCCCACACCAAAATATTCAGCCACGTTGAAAGGTCTTAATGTCTACAAGCAATATATATAAACTCCGTAAGGCATATGTCTGTCAGGTAAAAAGAAGGTGGATCTAGGACTGGGTGGTTTCTAGTCTAGGAGGAGGCAAGGAAGAAAATGTAAAGTTATGAGTGGGCAGAAGAATACAAAGGGAATAGTCAGCAAAGCTTGGGTGGGGCAGAGAATATAAGAAAGTATATGAAAAACAAGTAGTAATGAGAAGAACAGAGCTGTTGGGCTCTGGGAATATTTCTACAATAAAAGGGGAAACTTCCAGATATTTAGGAAGCTAAGTTTTATTCTCAAACAATATCTGGCTAGTACCCAGGATACAACAGCAGTTATAGTAATGGGAATACTTAGTGTTCATTGAGCATTGCCAATGGTCCAGACACATCTGGTAATTCATTTAATCCTCATACTATAACCCCGTGAAGTGGGTGCTTTAACCCCTCATCTTACCTAGGAGGAAGCTGAGACTCAGAAGGAATATACAGGGACTTTCCTGGTGGCTCAGACAGTAAAGCGTCTGCCTACAACGTGGAAGACCCAGGTTCAATCCCTGGGTCGGGAAGATCTGGAGAAGGAAATGGCAACCCACTCCAGTATTCTTGCCTGGAAAACCCCATGGACGGAGAAGCCTGGTAGGCTACAGTCCATGGGGTCGCAAAGAGTCAGACACGACTGAGCAACTTCACTTTCACTTTCCTGGTGGTCCAGTAGTTAAGACCCCATGCTTTCAATGCAGGGGGGGCCTAGGTTCGATCCCTTTTCAGTGAACTAGATCCCACATGCTGTGCCTAAGAGTTCATATGCTGCAACTAAAGATCTGCATAAATAAATAAATATTTTAAAAAATAAAGATTCCACATGCCACAACTAAAGATCATGCATGCCACAACGAAGAACCCAAGTGCCACAGCCAAATACATTTTTTTTAAAAAAAGGAGGATACAACTTTTCCCAGTAACATAGCTCATAAGTGGCAGAGACTAGAAGAAAGTACCCATCCTACCACCTTCCAGCATAGTCTTGGGAATAAATCAAGACATAGGGTTTACAGAGTTTTGAAAAGCAAAAAGCACTACATTAATTTTAAGATAAAAGGTAGTATATTATTGTTTGGGAATTCTGGAAGATTAGAAATTGTTGGTTCTTCATTCAGTCTTTAGGTCAGAAATTTCATACCACATAGAAAAAGGCATTTGCTCAGAGCCATTTCAGCTACATGTTGAACCCCAGTGATGTAGTGGTTTACATCAGGAACTACGATATGTACATTATGATATGAGCCAGCTGCAGACTGGAAGATCTGGGCAAATTTAAGCTAAAACGTTGCTTGTACAGGTAGCCAACTGACAACGCTATTATTCCTCACCTAAACTAAGGCTGTTTGGCATTCAGTTTGAGGAAGCAGAATCTGGGTGAGGAGTGAAAAATAGGAAAGGGGAAATGGCTCCAGCACGTCTCTGGCCGATGAGGGGTGGGGGAGGGGCCCCAGTACTTTCACTCTTGTAGACAGCAGAGCTGAGTTTTGCACACCACTGATGAATCCATCTCTTGGCACCCGCTGTAGTCCTAATGCCCCCAAACAAAGACGGCATTCACAACGGGAGGTGCAAGACCTGTCTGCAGCAGGCGGGCCTGGCTCAGAGATGCAGGGGGTGGAGTTGGCACTGCCTCCCTGCATGCGGAGCCCCAAGCAGTCTGCTCAGGAGGCTCCATTATAACCAGTGAACAGCTTCATGGGTCTGCTAGGAGCCTTCTATCAGGCGTTCCAAGCCAGTTCTTCAGAGGCTTTGGGTTCAGTGCCACCTGCCAGCCTCCCAAACTCCGGCTCTCAGATGGTGCACGCACAGAATCCAGAGGATCACAACCCATTCCCACTTCCTTTCACAAATGCACATAGAGAACAATAGCTGGAACCTAAGCATATGCTGAGTCCATGTGCTCACAGGATCTATTATCTAATTCCTCATAAAGCCTAGTGAAAGGGGGGTATTAGCATCACTGCTTTATAAAGGGGGAAGAACATGTGGCCCAGAGGTTAAGATGCCCAACCCAGGATTTAAATTTGTCTTCCAACTTTGCACATTCAATATGTACCTAAGCACTTGCTATGTCCAGGGCTATCACCAAGCCCTGGGAAAACAATAGTGAGCAAAGCCACGCTTTGACCTCATGGAGATGACAGTCTATAGAGGAGACAGATACAAAATAGTCACCCCAGCAGATGTAAAATTACAAAAGGTAGGGACTTCCCTGGGAGTTCAGTGTATAAGAATCTGTGCCTTCACTGCAGGGGGCACGGGGTTCCATCTCTGGTCAGGGAACTAAGATCCCGCGTGGCACACGACACAGTGCAGCCAAAGAAAAGCACAAAAACAAAAAACCCCAAGGGTAACAAGTTCTAATGATGCCCCCAGTAAGGACACGTGAGTGTATCAGGGAAGGCCTCCCTGAGGAAGTGACGTGCGCTGAAACCTGATGGGAGCTAACTAGGTGAAGATGAAGATGAAAAGGATCCTGAACTTAGGAAACACCACCCTGGGCCCCAGGAGAAGGGGGTCAGAGGTGGTTTGCAGCTGCTGCAGACCAGCAGGAAGGAAACGTGGATGAAAAGAGATGTAGGACTGAAGAGACTTTTAGTAACCAGAGTCCAGCAATAGATTGAGCGGATTGAGTGAGGGAGAGGAGGTGTCCAGGATGGCTCCTGGGTGCTGATTTGGGTTCCTGGGTAAACTTGTTTTCTTTCTTCTATTGAACACTGCCTTATACGAAAGATTTGAAGGTGGTCACTGGGAGCACAAGTTTGTGCAAAAAGTAAATAGGCCTAAAAAGCCCTTTTCAATGAGTAGTACTTTTTTTGGTTATCAAAATGACTGAAGGGCATTCAGTGAGCAGATGGTGTCAGGGACACTGAACAGTCCCACAAAGAGGGCAAGAGTGTCACATGCTAAGAACTGTTTCACCCTGAATGCCAATAGCACCCTTGCGAAGAAGCACTCTATAAAACGTCATGTATTAAGAAATTATAGGGTGCTCTAGGAATATTTGGGGGAATAGCCTTTTCTCCCATAATACAATCTTTTGGATGCAATGAGTGGAATGAACAGACAGGCAGCACAAAAACACCCGTCTCACTTCCAATCTTAACCTTACTTTTTTGACAAGGGATAAGACAACCAGGAATCTTTTTGCAAGAATATATATTAGCGAAAGTCTTCATTAAAGTACACACAACATTTTGCATCAGTTCTTCCCCGGCCTGTTAACGATCTTCATTCCGGTGTCCGCTTCCTCTCACCTCCATCCCACATCCAGTCCATCACTTTCCCCCTCCTTAGTGAGTGTTCTGCTGCCCTCACAGCGCAGGTCGCGATGGGAAAATCAATCTTTGTTTCCTTGGTCACCTGCCTCCTCCGTTAGTGAATTTCGTGAAGCAGAGCTGCCGCCCGCTCAGCTCCACGCTCGGTCCTTAGGGCCCAGTTTCGCGCCTAGCGCTTGAAAGGATGGAGTCTCCATACTATTTCGGGGGTGGGGCGTGTCCCACGGATCCACTACTGTCCACCCGCACGACTCGAGCGGGGAGCCCTCAACCCTGACGTCTCTCTTCCGCGCGGTTGGTCGGTCACTCTCCGCGCGAAGGACCAGAGCGGTCTGCGCAGGCGCGCCTCTGGCCCCGCCCGCGTTGGCGTCATCACGGCCGTTACGGCGACCTGGCGTCTCGGCGGGCAATTTAAAATCAGCCCTGGCGACTCGGAGGACAAGATGAGACCTCCCTGCCCTGGTGAGGCTGTGTGGCGGGGAGGCGAGGCGGGCAGGGCGCGGTGCCAAGCGGGCTGTAGGGCCGGCGGGCGGGCCTGAGCGGGGAGTGCGGTTATTCTCGGCCTTGTCGTTGGTTTTGCTTTTCCGGGGCTGAGCCGGCGGCCGGCCGACTGTGGGAGAGGAGGGCCGGCGGGAGGTAGGCAGGCGGGCACGTCCGGCCAATCAGGACGCGGCGTCAGCCCGGGCTGCTCTTCCGGCTGTGAGTGGGATACCAGACGCCTTTTCCTCGGGCTCTTACACCTTGGGTGGTGTCTCTTCGTTAAAAATGAGGTTTTCCCGGAGTGCACGTTTGTTCAGGGCCATAGAAGTACGGAGGTTACCACTATATGGTTATTAGGCGTGCATTTATTTTTACATCCTTTCAACAAGTACCCAGTGTCCCCCATTGGGCCAGACCCTCCCTCAGATGTAGAGATCGATTACAATAGAGAACAAAATAGATAAGATCCCATCCTCTTAGAGCATGTGTTTTAGTTCGGAAGAGAGGAAACTAAATAGTTACAGATGAGGCTGAGTGCTCAGTTTGAGAAGAGCAGAGTCAAGGGAGAGGCTCAGAGATCTTTAAGCAGATTCTGGGAAGCGAGTTCCAGGCAGAAGGAGCAAGCATACAAAAAGAGTAAGCGAGAAAGAGCCTGACACGGGCACGGACCGGGACATTGTAACTGAACATCGAGTGACGTACAACCGGTAGGCAGGGGCTTTGTGGGTCTTGTGAGGAGGTTTGGAAATTGAGTTACTCTTTTTGGACGTGGTAAGTGACTTACCTAAGTGGGTCAGGTGAAAGAGTCAATAATCACCTGGATAAGAGTTTGACACTGGGGGCAGTGATACGGGCTGCTCAGGGAAGTGGCCTATGGACTGAGAGGTAAATTTGGCCATCATTACTGTATAGCTCCCAGCTCATTGGTGGCTCAGATGGTAAAGAATCTGTCTGCAATGTAGGAGACCCAGGTTCAATCCCTAAGTCAGGAAGATCCCCTGGAGAAAGGAATGGCTACCCACTCCAGTATTCTTGCCTGGAGAATCCCATGGGCAAGAGGAGCCTGGCGGGGTGCAGTCCGTGAGGTCCCAAAGAATCTAAGCTACAGGACTGAACAACTAACACTTTCACTTTCATTGTGTAGCTGGCAAAACCATGGAAACAGGTGAGACCAGGAACACCCTGTAGAGAAAACACTTGGGACCAATACTTAGAAGCTGGTTAGAAAAGGAAGAGCTGGAAAAACTCAGAAGAGTGATGTTATAGAAGCCAAGAAGCCTCTGAAATCTCAGAGGCAGAGTGTTGTCAGCTCTTTCAGGTGCCGTTGACTCTCAAGAGGGATGAGGCCTGAAAAGTGACCGTTGGGTTTGGCAACATGGAAGTTGTGGGTGATGATGATGAGACAGTTTTCATAAAGTGGTGGGCATGGGAGCCACACCAGAGGGGTTGAAAAAATGAGTAGGAGGTGAGGAAGTGGATATACAAAGTGTTTTTGAGCTCAGTACCCATCTGTTGAATGAATAGATGTATAATGCTAAAGGGAAGGAGAGAAATTTGAGGAAAGACAATTCTGAGAAAGAAGGTGTGGCTCTAATTTCCATTTTGAGTTTCCTTCTGAGATTCCTCATTTAGTGCTTTCTATATCTGTTTTTCTTCTGAGGTCCAACTTCCTTCCTTATATTGGTTGCAGTGCCCGCATTCAAGTAGTCACAAGTCCTCTTGATTTAGCCTCTAAAAATGTCTATTGCGTCCTTCCTATTTTTACTTTCTTTTTCTTTTGTTTTGACCTCAGCTGAAGGTTCTGTTAATCATACTCTTCAGCTTGTGGGACGCTATCAGGGAAACTTATAAAGCTGTGTTTATTTTTAATTCCCTTTTATCCCCAGTCATCAATCCTTTCCTTCCTCTTACTTGGGCAGCCTTTTAAATTTACATATTTATTTCATTTTTGGCTGTGCTGGGTCTTTGTTGCCGCACAGGCTCTCTGTTTGCAGCGAGCAGGAGCTACTCTTTGCTGTGGCATGCGGGCTCCGTTGTTGTGGCCCCCGGGCCCTAGAGCGAGAGCTCAGGAGTGCGGCACAGGGGCTTCGCTGCCACGCGGCGTTGGGACCCTCCCGAACCAGGGCTCGCGCCTGTGCCCTACATCAGCGGGGGGGCTCTTTACCACTGAGCCCCCGGGGAAGCCCACGGGCGGCCTTTCAGTGTTCGTCGTGTGTCACTAGTGCGTTTTTACGAAACTAATGTGTTCTTATCTAACATGTGTTATATTGTGGGGTTTTTTTTCACATCACCAGTTCTGAACCAGCTGACGTATACATTCTTATTCTCATTTGGAGGATGAGGAAGCAAACCTTTAGAGCATTTACTTAAAATTTCTCCAGCTAGTAAGTGATAGAGCTGGAATTTGAAGCCAAGTCTTCTGATTCTTAAATCTGAAAACTGCCCCCAGGTTCCTTCACCTCTCCCTTCCAGTGAGCTTGTTTCTTGGTCTGCTCTCATCGGCCGTGGCCTTTCACCACTGTTGTACCCTAGACCTTGTCCTTGTGAAGAGCTGTGCCACTCTCATCTCAGTGCACCCTGCCTCTCAAACACTCCTGTCGTCCCAGCTTACTCCTTGTTCCCCAGCTCCAACATTCATTTGACCCAGCACACCTGTGTTCTACTTTCCCCGTCTCTGACCTCTCTCATGCCTTTGTTGCCCTCCTACACAGCTTACCTTCCGTGGTCAGTCAGTGTAATCACTTCCTTTCTTAACGCCCGTAACCCCTTACCCTCTTCTTGCCTCTTTACACTTGCTTATGACAAAATCACAGCTCTGATTAACCCCTACCCTGCCCCAGCCCCCTCGCACCCTGCCATCTCCAGGGGGCCCTGCAGATGCCCAGCAGTCATGCTGTCCTCCCTGGTTCATGCAGTGTGCTTCTTCTGGACGATGACTTTCTCTGTGCTCCCTGGCACTCTGGGAAAGCTGCTCTTGTCAGTGACTTCTGGGTTGCTAAATCCAGTGGTCAGTGCTCCTCCCTCACTTAGCTTGACCTGCCAGGTGCACTGGTGTAGCTCATGACTCCTTCCCCCCTGAAATGTTCTCTTCACATGGCTTGTAGAACACCACCCTCTCCTTCGCTTGTTGTGCATCACCCACCTCTTCACGGATTCCTTGTGGTTTCCTTCTCTTTAAACTTTGAAGTGTTCTAGGACTTAGCCTTTTTCTTTTTCTAACTGTCCTCATGTTTTTGGTCTTCTCATCCCCCACAGCTTTGAATATCCTCTGTGCTTACAACATCCACATATATATTAATATATCCAGCCCAAAACTTTTCCCTAAACTCTAGATTTAAATATCTGACTCTCTACCCAAGTTGAATAACTAGTAAGCCTCTGAAGCCCAGCAGGCACCAGACTGAGCCCCAGTCTTGCCTCCTTTCCCCACAGATATGCTTCTTCTGTAGTCCTCCTCTCTCAGGCCCTGGTAACTCATTCCATCAGTTACTTAGAGCAGTGTTGTCAGCCTTCATTCATCTGTTTCCTCTCTCGCCCCATGTCTAATCCATCAGGAAATCACCTTGGCTCTACGTTGAGACTGTATCTTGTTTGACCTCTGCCTACCACCTCCACGGGGTTCCCTGGTGGCTCAGGCGGTAAAGAATCTGCCTCAATGAAGAAGGCCTGAGTTCGATTCCTGGGTCCGGAAGATCCCCTGGAGAAGGAAATGGCAACCCATTCCAGTATTCTTACCTGGGAAATCCCATGATTGGAAGAGCCTGGCAGGCTACAGTCCATAGGGTTGCAAAGAGTTGGATACATTTGAGCAACTACACTTTCTTTCTTTTTTTCTTTCTTTCTCTCTTTCTACTATCTCCACCATCCCCTCTCTGGTCTGAGCCACCAACACCTGTTGTCCTGGTGGTGGTGTTTAGTCACTCAGTTGTGCCTGGCTCTTACAGCCCCATGGACTATAGCCCACCAGGCTCCTCTGTCCATGGGATTTCCCAGATAAGAATACTGGAGTGGCTTGCCATTTCCTTCTCCAGGGTATCTTCCCGACCCAGGAATCAAACTCGTGTCTGCTGCAGAAGGCTTTCTTATCTCTCCTTGCTAATCTTTGGAACTCTGCATTCAAAAGGCTATATCTTTCCTTTTCTCCTCTGCTTTTCGCTTCTTTTCACAGCTATTTGTAAGGCCTCCTCAGACAGCCGTTTTGCTTTTTTGCATTTCTTTTTCTTGGGGATGGTCTCGATCCCTGTCTCCTGTACAGTGTCACGAACCTCCGTCCATAGTTCTTCAGGCACTCTGTCTATCAGATCTAGTCCCTTAAATCTATTTCTCGCTTCTACTGTATAATCATAAGGGATTTGATTTAGGTCATACCTGAATGGTCTAGTGGTTTTCCCCACTTTCTTCAATTTAAGTCTGAATTTGGCAACAAGGAGTTCATGATCTGAGCCAGTCAGCTCCCAGTCTTGTTTTTGCTGACTGTATAGAGCTTCTCCATCTTTGGCTGCAAAGAATATAATCAGTCTGATTTCGGTGTTGACCATCTGGTGATGTCCATGTGTAGAATCTTCTCTTGTGTTGTTGGAAGAGGGTGTTTGCTATGACCAGTGTGTTCTCTTGGCAAAACTCTATTAGCCTTTGCCCTGCTTCATTCTGCACTCTAAGGCCAAATTTGCCTGTTACTCCAGGTGTTTCTTGAGTTCCTACTTTTGCATTCCAGTCCCCTGTAATGAAAAGGACATCTTTTTTGGGTGTCAGTTCTAAAAGGTCTTGTCGGTCTTCATAGAACCATTCAACTTCAGCTTTTTCAGCATTACTGGTCGGGGCATAGACTTGGATTACCATGATATGGAATGGTTTGCCTTGGAAACAAACAGATCATTCTGTCATTTTTGAGATTGCATCCAAGTACTGCATTTTGGACTCTATTGTTGACTATGATGGCTACTCCATTTCTTCTAAGGGATTCCTGCCCACAGTAATAGATATAATGGTCTTCTGAGTTAAATTCACCCATTCCAGTCCATCTGAGTTCTCTGATTCCTAGAATGTCGATGTTCCCTCTTGTCATCTCCTGTTTGACCACTTCCAATTTGCCTTGATTCATGGACCTAACATTCCAGGTTCCTATGCAATATTGCTCTTTACAGCATTGGACCTTGCTTCTATCACCAGTCTCATCTACAGCTGGGTGTTGTTTTTGTTTTGGTTCCGTCCCTTCATTCTTTCTGGAGTTATTTCTCCAGTAGCATATTGGGCACCTACTGACCTGGGGAGTTCCTCTTTCAATGTCCTATCTTTTTGCCTTTTCATACTGTTCATGGGGCTCTCAAGGAAAGAATACTGAAGTGGTTTGCCATTCCCATCTCCAGTGGACCACATTTTGTCAGACCTCTCCACCATGACCCGTCCATCTTGGGTGGCCCCACACGGCATGGCTTAGTTTCATTGAGTTAGACAAGGCTGTGGTCCCTGTGATCAGATTGGCTAGTTGCCTGTGATTGTGGTTTCCGTCTCTCTGCCCTCTGATGCCCTCTCTCAGTGCCTACCGTCTTGCTTGGGTTTCTCTTACCTTGGACGTGGGGTAGCTCCTCTTGGCCACTGCCCCTGACCTTGGCCGTGGGGTATCTGCTCTCAGCCTCCGGCCCTGACCTCGGACGTGGGGTAGCTCCTCTCAGCCGCTTCTGCGCCACGCAGCACTCGTGTTTACAGGCGGGTCCTTTACCACTGAGCCAGCAGGGACGCCCCCTGGTTATTGGTGGTTGCCTACTAATTGGTCTTCCTGCTCATCCTTTCAGTCTGTTTTCAACAGAACAGCCATAGGGATCTTCATGAAGCATAAGTTAGATCACTTTATGGCTTTTCTCACCATGTTCACTCACTTCCCTTCTCATGAAGGCCCAAGTCTTTACAGTGGCCCATAAGTAAGGCTCATACTCCCCTACCCGTTGTCCCAGCCTTATTCTGTTGGGTGCTCCTGAGCTACCAGCCCTCACAAATATGACACCCTGTGACCTATCTTCCCCACGTTCCTCTTGCACCACACTGGCCCCCAGGTGTGCCAGGCATGTTCCTGCCTCTGCTTGCTGTTCTCCCTGCTTCCACGTGACCTCCCACAGACATCTACATAGTCTTGATTCTGTTGTTATGTTCTCGCTGAAATGTTTCCTTGACCACTATATTAAAAATGACCTCCCACCTCCATTCCCCCCGTCCTATTCCCGTTCCATACTTTACTTTTCTCCAGAGCTTATACCGTCATCTAACATGCCATCCATTTTCTAACTTTTTATTATGAAAATGTTCAAACACACAGGGACATGGAAAGACTAAGACAGTAAATAGTCTCACACTCACAACCCAAACCCAACAGTTGTTAATGTTTTGCCATATTTACTTTTCTTCCCTGTCACATGCATACTTCCATTGCATGGGGCACAAGTTCAGTCCCTTGTCAGGGAACTAAGTTGCTACATGCCCAGAGAAAAGACATTTTTCCCTTTGCAGTTAGTAAGTAATCTGTGGGTGATTCTTTGGAATATTCTATTTATTTTACATATTTGTATTGTTTATTCTGTCTCCCTACTGGGATTAGAACCCAGTCTGTCTGACACGATAACCCATACCTCGCCCTTAACTCAGCATCTCTTCTCTGTCTTGCCTGGCATTATGGTTGAACATGTTTGTTGTTCTGCTAGTTTGTGGGCTTGTCAGAGGCAGCAACTTTTTCTTACCCACCTTTATATCCTGTATGGTGCTTTAGGTTCACAGTAACTGCTCAGTGGATATTTGTCCAGATTGGCAGGAAGCATCAGAAACCCCTCACTTGCCAAGAAACTCACACTATAGAGGTTCTGTGTGTGTGTGTGTTCAGTCGTGTCTGACTCTTTGCGACTCCATGGACTGTAGCCTTCCAGGCTCCTCTGTCCATGGGATTTCCCAACAAGAAGACTGGAGTGGGTTACCATTTCCTTCTCCAGGGTTCTTCCCAGCTTGGGGATTGAACCCACGTCCCCTACACTGGCAGGCGGATTCTTTACCGCTGTACCACCTGGGAAGAATATTAGAATTGGGGAAGATCTTGGTCGGAAGTGCTCAGTGAGCGTCCGCCCTGGGACAGGCCGTGGCCCTGCTTTAGACATGGGGTGTGTCCTGCTGAAGGCTTCCTGAGCTAGTGTTCCCTCGCCCTCAGCCACCATGAAGAACTCCCCTTCAGGGCCCCGTGGACGCCACCACAGCACCGCCTCACCTGCAGAGTGGGCGTTCCCCACGGCCCTGCCCCGGAAGGCCCCTCTCAACACTCCTGGCACCCCAGTCCTGGAAGACTTCCCCCAAAATGACGATGAGAAGGAGAAGCTGCAGCGGCGGCGCTCCAGGGTCTTTGACCTGCAGTTCAGCACAGACTCCCCACGCTTGCTGGCCTCCCCGCATTTGCTGGCCTCGCCCTCCGGCAGGTGAGTGGACACTGGGCTGCCTCGTTGTGGCAGCCACCGCATTGTGGGCTATGCGGGTTTGCATCACCACAGCACCTCCTGGTTTCTAGGTCTGGATGCTCAACAGCTCCCATTTCTCTTGTTTTTCCTTTAGGAATGTTGACGTTTCAGCTACAATGCCCAAGTTTACAAACACACAGATTACTGAACATTACTCCACCTGTATCAAACTGTCTACTGAAAATGTGAGTATCTGCTGGTTTTATCAGTGAAGGTTTGGCAGCCTGGTTAGAGAGGAGATCTGGCCTTCTTGGTTCTGTAGAGACTGCACAGTTAGTGATGGTGCACTTACATTTCCATGACTCTTTAATGCTGGTGTTTTCAGTGTGGTTTTACTGTTTCTTATAGACCATTGCCACCCCTGTGACAAGTTGCCTGACCCCTCTAGTGTGACTAGAGAGGCAGCATACTAGAGTTAGTAGTGTAGTTCTGGAGCTAAACAGTAGATAGAGCCTAGGCTTGTGGGCTCGTTGTGAGTCCTAGAATTAGCCTGAGTTGAAATTCTGTGCGGCCACACAACACACTGTGCGGCCTTGGCAAGTCACCCAGCCGTTGTGCCACAGGCCCTGCTCTGTAAGATGAGGGTGAGAACATCCCAGCCTCAGAGATGCTCTGAGGGCACTGAGCCCCTGTGTCGGCACTTAGACCAGGGCTTGCACACAGGCGCACTCAGGAGCTGTGTGCTGTCACTGCAGACCTTGAGGATGAAGAAACACACACAGGGCTTTCGCTCTCTCACAGGCGTTGGTGGGATTTGATGTCTGTGTTGAGATGTGGGCTCTTCCTGTTACGAGCTTGGCTTCCCCTTGTCAGGGTATCGTTGTTTACATGAGCCTAGGCTCTAAATGACAAGCCTTTCTGCAATTTTCTGTTTTCAGAAAATCACCACCAAGAATGCTTTCGGCTTGCACTTGATTGATTTTATGTCAGAGATTCTTAAACAGAAAGATGCTGAACCGACCAACTTTAAAGTAAGAAGGATGTCCACCTGCTCTTGCATCTGAGTGAATGCTGATGATGACTAATATTTAACACAGCACAATAATTGGATTCTACAAACACACTCGAGGCTTCCTTGCTTGGGACACTTTATTACCTACTTTACTTTATTTCCTAAACTGATGAAGAGCTGATATCTTTCCATTATGTTCTACTCGTTCCCTATCAGTTTTAGGGGGATCTTTGTCATTTTTTTCTTAAGGGCAAGTAAATCTTTGATGCAGATTGCTGTGTTTTGCCTGTTCAGCTGCTCCTTTCTCTGATCCCCATGCATACACCTCTGCTTGCTTGACTAGGTAGCTGCTGGCACTTTGGATGCCAGCACCAAGATCTATGCTGTGCGTGTAGATGCCGTCCATGCGGATGTATACAAAGTCCTAGGGGGGCTGGGCAAGGATGCGCCACCTCCGGAAGAAGCAGAGGACCATGGTACAGGTACACGGGCTAGGATCTGAATATAAGGGACTTTTTAAAGGATGTAGCAAGTAGTTATTCGAGTAACATACTGGAATGAAGTCACAGGAAATCAGTTCCCATTCTATCGAAGACATGGACATTTTTCAGAATTATATTTCAGAAGATACTCAAACACTAGATTTGCTTGTTTGTTTTGGAAAAGAGAAGGGCCTTATAAAAGCTTTTCGATTTTATTGAGACAAGATTGAGTAAACATCACCAACTAGGGAGCTTCTGATTTGGGGTGATGTGTCTTTGGAAATTGACTTGTATCAGAAGCCAGATACTTAATCTAGTAGCTTGGTTTCTCCCTCCCCTGAAGATTAGATGTGCCTGCTGCTTTGAGGGGATGGCATGTGTTGCAGTGATGATCACCCTTTAGAGTTTGAAGAGCTTGTATTGGTAGATTCAGTCACATGCTCCAAAGCAGCCCCTAGAGTGCACAGTCTTACTCCTTCTCACAGATGGAAGTGCAACTGAAACAGGAACAGCCAAGAAGGCCCCAAAGCCAAGGAAGAAGCACTCGTGCAAAACCATCGAGCAGAATGTAAACAACCTCAATGTCTCCAACGCTGATCGGAAGTACGAGGTGAGGAACTGTGCCCAGTGTGGTCTCTGACTAATTCAAGACCTTTGAGGTGCAAGTGTGCTGGTGTGTGCTGGTTCGGTCCTCAGGGCAGTAAAGCATTCAGCTGGTCTCTCTGCATTGTCATCCTTCAGCTTTTCGTCCTTCAGCTGAAGAGGGCAGGTCCCTGTCTTCCCCCGTTTTCAGGATGATTGAGTACAAGGAGATGGCAAGTTACTGAGAAAACCAATTGATTCAAACGTGTATTTTCTTCTGCAGTGCATGCAGCAGTGGTGATGACAGCTAACATTTATTGTGTGTCTACTGGGCACATCTTGCTGCCTAGGCCTGTGACAGCCCATTCAGTCCTTACAACACCCTTGCTCCATTTTATGAAGAGGTAATTGAGGTGCATGAAACTAAGCGGTCTGCCTCCAGAATCCTTGCTGTAAACAACTTTGCACGATTTAGCAAATCCAAGGAATCTGCTTAAAGGAATGATTCCAGAGGCCTCTTTATAAATTAGCAGTTAATTTAAAGCAAACAGATGTTGCTACAAGTTTTTAAAAAATTTTGTTATTAAAAACAATTTCAGTGAACATTCTTATACATACTTGCATTCTTCTGGGAGTATATTTGTAAAAAAAATTCTGAGACATGGAATTTCTATTGCCTTCAGAAATGGTTTTATCAATTTACTCTCCCACCAACAATGGGCTCAATTGTTTCTTTTACCTGTACAACATTAGTGATTAATGTCACGAGGGTGTAATTGATCATCAAGGGAACAAGTGTACATGGAAAAAGGACTGGGGCCCTGGGGTACCCCTATCTTAAGAATTCAGAAAGCTGACTAAGAAACGTCCACTGGCTGGGAAAACGAGGAGAGTGTGGTATTGAAATGAGAGTTTCAGGGAGGAGGACATGGTCACCTGTGTCAAATATGGCAGCCTTAGGCCTTGGTGAGCTTGGAGAAGGGGCCCTGGGGAAGTGCGGCTCAGGCCGCCAGGGAAGGGCTGCTCCTTGGCTGAGTTTGAAGGAGCGGCCCGCGGCTCAGGACCCAGACCTCTGAGGAGGGTGTCTCTACTGGCTCCGGGTAAGGTTGGTTCTGCGTCAGTAGCAAGTACAGGAGAAGTTCGGCTGCTGCCACTGGTGGGCCTGCCTCTGCTGGGGCAGGGCGTCACTGCTGGCTGACACTCCCAGGAGCGGGGGTCCTACAGAGAGACCGGGTCCCTTCTCCTCCTTCCAGCCCTACCATCTCCCTCTAGGGCCTCCTTTTGGTGGAGCCCAGTAGGGAGCTGCTGACACAACTGAAATGTGGCCTCTGACCCAGCATCACAGGGCAGAGCATAGAAGGTGGGTTTGGAGTTGAGTGGCAGTAGCTTAATAACTGGCAGAGAGCCAGAGTCTTATAATACCCACTTTCAAGAAGATTCTGTCGGCCGGGGGACAGGGAGAAAGCAAACATGAAAAATGTCTCCTGTTGGGGAATTTAGGTGAAAGTTAAACAGAGATTCTTAAGACTACTTCAACATCCCTGTAGGTTTGAAAATTTTTTGGTAAAAAATTGGGCAGAGGAAAACAAGTGGGGAGAGAGGCAGTTTTTTGGAAGAGTTTTGCTATAAATTGGGGCAGAGTAATAGAGTGGCAAAGGCAGGGAAAGTAAGGTCCAGAGTTGTGGGGTTTTTTTGTTTTCTTTCCTAAACAATGATGTAGTATTTATTGACATGGGAATATTTGCAGAATATGTTCTTTTTTTTTAATTTTTAAAAACTATCTTTCAGGTATAATTTATTTACAATGTTATATTAGTTTTGAGTGTACAACATAGTGATTCAAAATTTTTATAGATTATACTTCATTGTAGGTTATAGTAAAATATTGACTATATTCCTTGTGCTGTGCGTTATGTTCTTAGAGCTTATTTATTTTATACACAGTAGTTTGTACCTCTTAGTCCGCTACCTCTCATGTCCCTTCCTTCTCGCCACTGGTAAACATTAGTTTGCTCACTGTATCTTTGAGTCTGTTTCTATTTTGTTATATATATGCTTTGGTTTTTTTTTAGATTTCATATATATACGTTGTAACATATAGTATTTGTCTTTCTCTGGCTTATTTCACTAAGCATAATAACCTCCAGGTCCAGCCATGTTTTTGCAAATGGCAAAACACCATTTTTTTTAATGGCTGAGTAGTATTCCAGTGTGTGTGTGTGTCTGAGTAAATGTGTATGTACACTCATGCGTGTATACACACACACATACACAGCCTTTTTATCCATTCATCTGTTGATGGGTACATTGCTTCCATATCATAACTATTGTAAATAATGCCACTATGAACATTGAGATGCATGTACTGTATATCTTTTCAAGTCAGTGTTTTCATTTTCTTCAGATGTATACCCAGGAGTGGAATTATTGGATTATATGGTAGTTCTGTTTTTAGTTTTTTGAGGAACCTCTATACTGTTCTCCATAGAGGCTGCTAATATCCCTATATTCTCACCAACCATATACAAGGATTTCCTTTTCTCCACAAAGTATTTGTTATCTGTGGTCTTTTTAATGGTAGCGATTCTGATGGGTGTGAGGTGATACTTCATTTTTTTGGTTTGCATTTCTCTGATAATTGGCAGTGTTACACATCTTTTCATGTATCTGTCTGGCATCTGTGTGTCTTCGTTGGGAAAATGTCTGTTATCTGCACAGTTTTTGATTAAGTTTTGTTTGTTTGATTATTGAATTGTATGAGCTGTTTATACATTTTGGATTTTAACAACCCTTATTGGTCATATCATTTGCAATTATTTCCTCCCATTCAGTAATTGTCTCTTCATTTTGTCAGTGGTTTCCTTTGCTGTGCAAAGCTTTTAAGTTTAACTGGGTCTCATTTGTTTATTTTTGCTTTTGTTCCCTTTGTCTTAGGAGACAGATCCAAAAAATAATGTTATGATTTATATGAAATCTGCCTATGTTTTCTTCTAGGAGTTTCATGGTTTCCAGTCTTACGTTTAGGTCTTCAGTCCATTTTGTTTATCTTTGTGTATGGTGTTAGAGAGTGTTCTGACTTCATTCTTTTGTATGTCGCTGTCCAGTTTTCCCAGCACCATTTATCAAAGAGACTGTCTTCTCCTCATTGTTTATTCTTGCTCCCTTTGTCATAGATTAATTGACCATAAGTGCATGTGTTCATTTCTGGGCTTTTTATCCTGTTCCATTGATCTCTGTGTCTTGTCTTTTTCTTTTTTAATTTTACTTATTTTACTTTTGGCTGCAGTGGGTCAGAAACCTGAGCGTGGGCTTTCTCTAGTAGTGGCGAGAGACAGCCACTCCGGTTGCAGTGCGTGGGCTTTTCTTTGCAGTGGCTTCTCTGCTGTTGTATGTGGACTCTGGGGCCCATCGGCTTCAGTAGTTGGAGTTTGCAGCAGCACCATGGCATGTGGAATCTTCCCAGACCAGGGGTTGAACCCATGTCCCCTGCGTTGGCAGGCAGATTGTTGACCTCTGGCCTGCGCGGGAAGTCCCTGTGGGTCTGTTTTTGTGCCGGTGCCAGAGTGTTTTGATAGTTGTAGTTGTGTGGTGTGTTCTGGGAGCTTGAATTTGCTGCCTCTGCCTCTTTCTCAGGGTTGTTTTGGCTACTCAGGGTCTTTTGTGTTTCTGTACAAATTTTATAATTATGTGTTCTAATTCTGTGGAAAATACCCTTTTTTAAAAAAATGAGAGAACTAGCAGCATGTTTACTTGTTCATGGCACCCATCTAGTGGAGAAGGAATTATTGATGATGCAGAAAAGGGAGGATAAATGCTAGGGTGGTGTTTGAGTGGGTGAGGAGGTCAAGGAGTAGACAGCTTGGATGGGCCTTGGCGTAGGAGCACAGTGGCTGATGAGAGGTGGGGCTTGAGTGTGTGCACATGGGCACATTCTGGATATTCTCTTCTGGTTGTATCTCCCCTTCTACCCACTCCTGCCCCCATCAGTGAAATAAGCCAGATCTTCGACTGACAGCAAGTGTGGAGGAGGAAGGTGTTGGAGATTCGAGGAGAGAATTAGGTAGGAGAGACTCATCCAGGAGGGTGTTGAGTGGAGGGACTAGGGAAACATAGTCTGATGGCCAGTCAACACTTTGGGTCTCCTTGAGATCTTCCTGGACCAGGGGTGGAACTGCTGTCCCCAGTATTGGCAGTGGATTTTTAACCACTGACCACCAGGGACGTCCCTCACCATCATTCTTGCTCGTGCTTTTGGTTCTACACTGAAATGTTCAACAGCATTCTTGGAAATTCTCTTTCCCTACCATCTTCTTTCTTCCCAGGTAAACCCAGTTCTGGGGAGCCTGAGGACACTTACACTGGCCTCTCCATTGTCCTGGAGAACACGAGAGCGAGCAGTGCCACGCCCTGCAAGCCTGTGGCTGTCGGGCTGTGGTCTGTTTATGCAAGTGAATCAACAGGGCGTTGAAGAAACACCGAGAACCCCAACACTGGAAAGCCTTTTTAACTCTGTAACCTCCAGTACACTTGTAATAACAGAAAGAATGGAAGATAAAAAAGGAGGAGGGGAGGCACACAAACCTAAAATTTGAAGTTCCAGCAGAACTTCCCGTTTGTTGAACCCACATTCTCTGGATGATGGCAGAAGATGGGGAAGCAGATGTTCTGTGGGTGGGTCTGGACCAGCTGAGGTCCCCTTTTTGCATGTGAGCTCATCTGGTTTGGACAGATCTCTTTACTGTGTGCAGAATTCTTGCTGCCATGGGGGGTCCAGCATGCTTATGTTCCAGTTCTTCAGGCCAGGAGAGCACAGACAGACAGTGTGAGGAAGGTCAAGGCTCCTAATCAGGAGACCAGAGTGGGTGGAGGTCAGAGTTTACGGAAGAGGCAAGATTTGACTTGGGCCGTGAAGGATGGGTAAGTGTTTGCCAGGTGGTGATAGGAAGGGGACTCTGGGCAGAAGCACAAGCCGAGGTCACGAAGCAGAGAAAGTTCTGGTTCCTTCAGCAGATGGACAGTGTCCAAGTTGGACTGGAGGGGAGGATTTACTCCTGAAATGACTCGACTTCATCCTGCCGTCTACTGTCTACTGAGGCCTGCTTTTACGGCTTCTCTCTCTTGCTGGGACCCTTATTTCAAAGAGTTCATTTTTCTAGACTGCACAGCCAGCAGTGATTCATTTTCCCATTCAGTCACTCAGAGATGTAAGTCAAATCTAATTCACATGAAAGAACCATTGTTCTCACACTGATGTGATCTAATTCTAGGCAAAAGTGAGGAAAGTTATCTTAGTGTTTTCAGCTATGAATGTGGGTCGGTGTGCAGATTTCATGTTGACTCTGAAATGCTGAGTTTCAGTAACTACCTGCATAAGACCTTGGTGTGGGATCCAGGAGGAAAACCATTGCTGTGGTGAGCCTTTGAGGAAAGGCATGGGAGTAGCACCTCTGGTATTTTTAGGATAAGAAGTAGGAGAGAGCAGAGACAAGGGTTAACTCAGGCAGTGGTTATACTGATGGCGATGAGGGCGGGAAGGAAGAGGTAGGTGGTAGAGACGGGCCCACCAGGGAAGCCCACCAAGCCTTGTACTGGCTGGGTGAGGGTGAGCAGGCGGAGCGCAGAGGTGCCACGTGTGCTGTTCTGGGGCTCGCGTACCAGGAAGTGAGAGGAGAATCTCAGTTCTGGTGAGGCTGGGCTCAGGGTTGAGGGGGCCAGTAAAGGGCCGGGGAGCCACGCCTGTCCTCATAACTAGGGGCCCCTGTCTGCGGAGTAGCCTTATCCTAAGCCTAAGGAAGACCTGTGAACACAGCGCCCAACCTCTTCCCTGTCACTGGCCTCCTGGAGAGTCCAAGGCGGCTCCTGCCCTCTGGCCACACAGGCTTGTGTGCCTGTGCCCCGTTCTGATTTGGGGCTTGATGATACATGGTTATGCCCCTCCTGCACACTGGCCGCCAGCCTCGGGGGTCTTCTGACCACCTCTCCCCTGTGTAACCCAGCCATGTAACCCTGATGACTCTGCCTGTCCTTTGCCTGGATGTCTTACTTGGGTTCTTTCTTCCACATCTTTGAAAATATTGTTGTTCAGAGGATTGATGGGATTCTGTGAATCCCTCACACAAACTTTTTATAAGTCAGTGGAATTTGTTGTGGTAGCATTCTACTAGAGATAAATGTTCAAAAAGTGATGGTGGAGGGGTGTCCCTTGTGATCCAGGGGTTGAGAGTCTACCTGTCAGTGCAGGGGATGTGAGTTTAATCCCTAGTCCAGGAAGATTCCATATGCCGCGGAGCAGCTAAGCCTATGCCCCACGACTACTGAGCCAGTGCTCTAGAGCTCTTGAGTCAGCACTGAAAGCTGCTCACCTAGAGCCCATGCTCCAGAACAAGAGAAACCACTGCAGTGAGAAGCCCGCACACTACAACTAGAGTGGCCCCTGCTCGCCACAGCTTAGAGAAAGCCCACGCGCAGCAGTGGAGACCCAGCACAGCCAAATAAATAAAATCTTAACAGAACCCACACCTGGCTGTGGGGAGAGACCAGCAGAAGGACACTGCCCTGGAGCATTGTAGGCGAACACGCTGACGTGGCGCCAGCTTGTCACCATCTACTGTGTGCCTTTCTCCATCTGAGTGCGCACAGCCCTCCTTTTGAAGCAGGTGGGGTTTTACCTGTCGGTTGATCATGTGCAGAGACATTTTGATCCCATAGATGCAGCTGCGAACGAGCAAGGCCCAGTGAGCGGGGTTTCCTGTTTCCTTTGGCTGCGTCCCTTAACCCTGGGGGTCCCTCTGCTTTTCTGCACTCAGGTCGACCCCATGTTCCAGAAGACAGCAGCCTCGTTTGACGAGTGCAGCACTGCAGGTGTGTTCCTCTCCACCCTCCACTGCCCAGACTACAGGAGCGAGCTGCTCTTCCCCACCGACATCCAGACCCTCTCCAGCGGGGAGCCTCCTGAGCTGCCGGATTTGGGCTGGGTGGAAGTGACCGATTTAAAAGGTGAGTCCAGTGCCGCCTCTTACCAGAGCAGTTCAGTCATCAGAGAGGTTTCTGTATATAACCATGGCTAGCAAGCCCACTGTGCTCTTGTCTTGCTTATTTACCCAGAAGGTTCCTCTGGAAAGACAAAGTGGGCTTGTTTTTTTTTTTTTTTTTTTTGAAGAGAAACTCACTTTTGGCCTCTCTGCAGCACAGAGTTTTGAACAGCAGTAGCCGGTGCTCGTGGTTTATGTGTCCTAAGGCCTTCTGGTGCTATGTGGGCAGCTGGTTCTCTGGAGGGTGAGAGTTTGGACTTGGGAAAGGGGCTGTAAAAGACTTGTTGCACCAGAGGCCTTGTGTTCACTTGTTATTAACCCAGGGGATCCTGAGGAGAAAAGGGCTGTATGAACTGTCTTCAGAATCCTCCACGGTGGTCTGAGAACAGATCTGTCCTGTTGTCAGTCCCTTATACTGGCTTAGCAGTGATTTCCGCCACCCCCTGCCACCCATCCAACCTGTCCCCTCCCACTGCTGGGGGAGCCTCTGAGGATGTGGTAGGCGGTGTGAAGGCCAGGCACTATCATGGGGCGATTTTGTGGTACATGGAATTATCCTCCCCTCTGCAGGGCCACACCGATACCATGGTGCCCATCCGCCTGTCCTTGCCTAGAATTTGCTAAGAATGACTGTTTAGTACTAACAGTTGTCCAGGCGTTTGTACTCAGTGAGGCTCTCATCCTGTGAGGTGTGTAATCTGGACCTAGTTTGGTTGCTGTTTAGTTGCTCAGTCACGTTCGACTCCTTTGGGACCCCACGGACCGCAGCCTGTCAGGCTCCCCTGTTCATGGGATTCTCCAGGCAAGAATACTGGAATGGGTAGCCATTCCCTTCTCCAGGGGATCTTCCCGACCCAGGGATCAAACCCATGTCTCCTGCACTGCAGGCAGATTCCTTACCACTGAGCCATCAGGGAAGCCCATCCCTAGTTTATTTTGGGGCTAAAATTAGTGCCATTGCACAATGGTCTGTGCCATTAGTACGCTTTCAGGATGGGTTTTTGATTTCCCAGCTCCAGCATGGGACACAGAGTCCATTTCGGAGTTTAAAAGTCTGTGCTTCAGGCTTCTGCTCTGGTGTTTTCCCGATTACTGGAACACCAGTGTGGAGCCTACCTCTGGCACGGGTGTGTGCCTGAGCACACGTCCTCTCCTGGGAGAGCAGTCGGCACACAGGTGGGCGGCTGGCCAGCCTCTGTCCGAGGGCAGGAGGTGGCCGCGCCTCCCCCTCCACGGGGCTGCTCCGTCATCTCCAGGGGCTGAGGCATGTCTCCAGCCTGCTCTGATCCTTCTTTGTGATCTTCCTGTCCTCTCAGCGGCCCTGCAGCAGTGCGCGGAAGATCGCCAAATCTGCCCTTCCCTGGCCGGCTTCCAGTTCACTAAATGGGACAGTGAAGCGCATAATGAGGTGTGGTCAATTTCTGGACTTCTAAGGGCCCTGGGCATTTCTCCAGCAGCTCGTGGTGTCAGTGAGATGCCCTGAGATGGGTCCTGCCCAATGGGAACCAAAACTGTGGCATCATTTTTATTTAGCCGGCAGTACAGAAAGTATTTGCTTTGGCTCCTCCACAGGGACTAAACACTGGGGCAGGCTGGGAGTGGGGCTGTGTGCCGCCCTCTGCAGGCCCATTAAGCAGCTGGGAGTAGCGTGTGGGGATCAGCTTCGTGTTTCTTCTTGTCTGCCCCCCAGGGTAAGGCAGTCCTTCCACTCCTGGGTGCACAGTCTCATCAGATTTACTCTCAAACATGGCTGTCCCAGTGGCCTCTGGTCTCTTAGGTTGCTGTCAAGCTCAAGGAATTTCCTGCTCTTCAGACTTGAGTCCCTTGGCACAGAGTTTCCTGAGAAATTGTCATGTGTGAAGTTTTCCTCTATTTTTAGCCTGGCCCCCTTTAGTCTACTTACTACAACCTCCAAAATAAATGGTCTCCATGGAAAACTGTTTAAACACGGGGTTAAAGGATGCAGATTCCGGTTCTGTGTTTTACAAAATGTGCCTGACGACAATCCAGCTCCATCCTGTGCCACACAGTGTAAACTTCCTCAGCGATCTGCGGGGAGGCGGGCCTGGGGGAGGCCCCTCCAGTGGGGCGGGTCTTCCTGCAGTAGCGGGCGGTGGTGGGAGTGGGGGCGCTGGGGGTGTGGGGGACTGGGGAGCTCTCCGTCTCTTCCAGTCAGTGTCAGCCCTGGTGGACAAGTTTAAGAAGAACGACCAGGTGTTTGACCTCAACGCCGAGGTGGAGGACAGTGACTGTGAGGACTTCCCCAGCGGGCCCCTGGAGGACGACTTCGATGCCAACGACGAAGCAGAGCAGACCGCAGCGGGGGACCGCACTGAGCTCGGGAGCTGGAAGGAGCCCCGCCAGGTTCAAAGCTGCCAGTAAGGCGCTCAGGGCCACGGGAAGCGTTCCCACGGCCGTCCTCCCAGAGGTCCTGCTGGGACAGTCCGGTTCCGTCCTTGTGGTCAGCTGGGCTGGTGTGTCTTGTTGCGCAGGCTGAGCCATTCTGACTCACGATGGAATCAGTCTGCCTCTGAATATCGGCTCAGCCACTTACTGGGCTGACACTGCAGGAGTCGATGAGCACGACATAAAAGCTGGGCTCTAGCAGCTCCTTCAGCGGCGGCTTGTCATCGCCACTTCCATTTTGGTAGCACGGACTGTGCTCCCTTTCAAGACACTGGACATGGTCTGGCTTTTGACTGAATCACTGCATCTCAGTTTCAGGCAGAAAACAGGCTTACGTATTGGTTAGTGAGAAAAAGTGGGCCCCACGTAAAGGGGAGAGGGGTCTAAGCAGAGTTGGTTATCAGATTGGTAGACAGGGGATGAGCAAAGCAAGGAAAACTAAGGCAGCAGGTAAGATTGAGCATATGAGATTGGGGAGATGGTAGAATTGGTCTCCAGTAATTTAGATTTTTGATTACTCTAGTAAGCATCATTGGAAAAATCTGAACTTGGATAATTTTATTATATGTACTTACTAGGTTATTTTACGTTAATTTTGAATATGATCTGGAAGCGGGATCCCGCATTCCTGCTGTGTGAGGGCCGCCAAAGGTCTTGAAAGGGCCTGCCCAGATCCCTCGAGACTAGAACAGGCAGACCCTCGGATGACCCTGTGCCCACAGCAGCGGCTTGGCAAGTCTGGGGTCAGCGACAGCCCAGCTGGTTCACGGTGGGTGAAACTGTACAGGTTGTCCAGCGTGATTTCCCACCAAGGCAAAAGTTCCTTCAAGAGCCTTGCTGAGTGTGCCCAGGCTGAGAGTGCTTTCTCGACTCACTTTGTTTGCCCATGTGGGGAGGGATGAGATCGACAGTGCCCCTTCAAATCTGACTGGAAGACAGGGGGCTGTGAGGACCTCAAGGAAAAGTTACCCCTACCCCCAGACCCTTTAGAGACTGCCTCTCCTGGTGTGTGCTATTACCACCCTGTGGTTTTGTCCCTGTTCCCATCCTGCCTTCCAAGAAGTGAGAAATGATGGGCAGATTGGTGGGATGAGCTCTTTTAATGTCACTTTCAAAGTCAGAGAAGAGCATCACTTTGTGTAAACAGTGAGGCGGCGTCTGAGGAACTGATGGAGCAGGAGGGTTTTAGTGGCTTCCGTTCTGTCATTAACCCATAGATGGTTATTGTAAACACAGTTTGAACAAATGTCTCCATCTCTCTCCCCGGTTGGACAGGATAGAATCTTAGACTGGACCCTGCTGAGTGAGTGCACTGCGGGCATAGGGCTTAGGTTCTAGTGCAGGGTTTTGTCTGCCTTGAAATGCCTGCTGCTGGCTGGGTGCAGGCCTTTCCTGGGAGCCCAGCGAGTGTGTGAACTAAACTAGGCCTGACCCTGCCGTGGGTGGCTGGGAGGTGTGGGGCAAGTGGTCCGTCTGTGGGGCTTTGCTTTCTCACCTGGAAAGGGAGTGACTGGGGCTTGATAATAATAGTATCATAGTATCTGATGTTTCCTGAGCACCCGATTATTCTGATTGTGCCACATTCTCTGCCAGGTTCCTTACCTGCATATTTCACATAATTTATATAACATATAAAAATAATCTTTTCATCCTTACAACAACCCTGTAGGTCCTGTTACCCCATTTTACAGGTGAGGAAACAGGCTCAGAGAAGGTAAGTAAGGGTGGAGCTGGGCAGTTACCAGCACCCTCGACCAGTCTGGCCGTGTGTGATGAGCTGTGGGTGGCAGGTTCCACCCCAGGGCACTAACTCAGAAGTGTCTAAGGCCAGGAACGCCTCATGACTTCCCCAGAGCCGCTGGGGCTTGTGCTGTACGCAGGGCTGAAAACACTGCACCGAACTGCAAGGTCTTTAAGAGCTTCTCTAGTTCAAGGTGGGGTGGAGCGATGCTAAATTATAACCACCAGTGCTTGCAGGAAGCCCTGTGTGACTGGTCCCTGGATGGCAGCCCTTTGACCACTGTGCACGTTCGTACATTAGTAAGGACGTGACTGAGAAAGCACTTCGTGACCTAGGGCAGCTCAGTTGCCCTCCATCTTCTGTAGCGGCGGGGCCGTGTGCACTCTGATCTCCTGGGCGCATGCTCTCACTGTGGTTAAAGGCCTCGCCTGTGGTCCAGCCCAGACCACAGCCTGCTCTGTGCTTGCAAGACTGAGGCCTTCTGCTGCATGCTGGCCGAGGTGCTAGGAGACAGTTGAGAGGAGACTGTCAACCTGCAGGTGTTCATGCAGCACGACTGAGCTGGCGCTAAACTGAAGGAAGGGACTGTGGTTGCGGTAGGGTGGGGTGGGGGTAGGAGAAGTGAACACTTCCTCCAGAGGGGATGAGAGAAGCCTGACGGAGGGGTAGACTGGATTAGGCTAGTTGTTGAATGGGGGAGTCGGGTGCCTGCCACATAGCACTGTATTGTATTGAAAGAATTATTAAAAGGCTAGAGGTCAAGCCTCCAGGGCCTCAGTCCAGTTCTGGCCCTCAGAAGAAGTCCAACTCTCAGAAGATAGGAGCCAAGCTTTTTATAGCTTTGCCACTAAGTTCCCAACAAACTGCCAGCTCAGCTGCCGGCATTTTGACAGACGAGTACCCGAGAATTTGAGCAGGGATGCCCCCAAAGCTGCCTTCTCTCGCCCTTGGAGAGATACAGCAGAGTGCAGCACAGTTATTACCTAACATAGGAAGGCAGTTACAGGCTAGAAGTGGGGATTTTTTAGTAAATTTTAATTTTAAAAATTGTTTTCATTACACCTTAAATGTACAGGTAGAGTTTACTGGATAAAATTTAAAAAAAAGAGTCCGTAGATGAAAGCGAAGTCCTTTTAAAGCTTTTATCTTGTACCATAAGGTTTGATATAAAGGGGATGTATAGGTATGGGTCAGTCCAGGTGAAAAGGTCATCATCATCTTTACCTTTAGAGGGCAGTAGAGTAGCGCTGACAGGCTTTCTGACCTGGCAGGGCCTATAGGTAAAACCTACCCGCCACGTTTTAGTTACCTTGCAGAAAGGATGAAACCCTGATCCAAAACTGCCATGCTGGATGGGCCAGTTAGACCCTTCATACACGCAAGAAATACAAGCTAGTTGGTTTAACAGATAGGTTATTGTCCCCCAGTCATGTGGGAGACAAATGAGTTGTTTTCACTTTCAGTAGGAACTACAGCAGTATTAGCGGAGCCCTCATTTATGGAAAGATGGTAAAGAAGAAATGTGACAATCATGTCATGTGGTAGGAAGCCTTGTGTGTGGAAAGACCCTGAGGCTGGGATTCTGGAATGGTGTCTGGGACTGCCCCAGCTCTGGCATTTTACTAGCCATGTATGTAGTCTTACATAAAAAGTCAATTTCTTTCTGTTTTCTTATCTCTCAAGTGGGTAAACTTGCATTTTATGAAGCACTTTGAAACATGAAAAGTACTTGCATAGATATGATTGTGTTGTTATAAAATGAGAAGAAAAAGCACTGACTGAGTAAGCTAAAGGATTACTAACGATGTATTATGTTGGACTCACTCTTAGCAATGTTGCTCATTTGTGGAAAAGTAGTGTCTTCAGCTGGGTTGTATTCTGCTTTATGTGTAAATACACGATTGTATTGTCTAAATCAACACACACATGACTGTACATATAAAAACGGATCTTATGTGTTACAGAGACGAAGTGATTCCCCTTGGGGACGGAGACATTTGGACCTTGTGTCCCCTTCTGTCCATGAAGCCTGGAGAGTATTCCTACTTTAGCCCTCGCACCATGTCGATGTGGGCTGGCCCGGATCACTGGCGCTTTAGACCTCGACACAAACGTATGTACTTCTAGGCAGAACTTTCAAGAAGAAATAGTGCAGATGACCAGCCAGTCAGCCTTTCAGCCCAGGAAGGGAAAATGCCCATCACAGTCTTGTACCTCCCAACAAGCGGAGGGAAATACACAAGATAAGCAGCCTCCTGGTTGGACAGTGAGTTGACCTGGCCCGGGATGAGGGAGCAGTTAAGGCTGCAGCCTCTAAGGGGGAGGGTCTGAAGGCGCCATGTGAGTTGCTGCACGGGTGCACGCTGCAGCCCTCTGAAGGGCAGTGCCAGCATTGTGTGTTTTGCATTCTCTCTTTGAAAAGAAGTGATTAATTAGCATACCTGTTACTGAGTTTTCTCAGCGAAAACACAGATCATACGGATAAATATTAGGTATAAGATTTGCCCTTCTTAGTGCTGTTCTGATGCTAGGATGCAAATGCAGTCTTGGGTTCAGTAAGGCTGTCGAGTGATCTCGCAGGATGAGTAGATAAAGAGACCAGAGAGGTGAGCAGTGTTGACATCTGACTTCATTTCTGCAGATGATACTGCTTCACAATCAGAGCATAGAAAGAAGAGCTCGAAGGATTTTAAAATTGACTTTGACGACAATATTGACTTTGATGTACATTTTCGAAAAACAAAGGTTTGTGCTAGATTTATTATCCTTTGTGCTTTCACAAATTCTTTGCACTCCTCTTCCCCTTTCATCTGTGGTTTTTAAGAATTCATTGTAAATTTAACTCTTAGAGTAAATGGGTAGTTTCATTTTCCCTCAGTCCCTGAAGGAATTGAAATAGTCCCAGACGCAGTGGCAGAGAGACTCACTATGAACAATGTCTCACAGAATCACTCCTTTACACAGAAGGGGGAAGACTGTTGCAGCTGTATGCATATAGGCCGTTTTTATTAAAGATGCATAAAAACTACCCTTTTCTTTTTCTTTAAAATCAATAGGCTGTTACTGTTCTGACCAAGTTCACTTTGGAGAACCAGAGTTGGAGAGCCACTACTCTTCCTACAGATTTCCAGTATGAGACTAAAGATCTGGTCCAGCTGCATCTCAAACCAGGCACCAGGGTAAAGCTGCTCTTTGGTTCCCTGAGGTCGTGCTGTCATTGGACCCCTTCTTAGCATTGGAGGTATCAGTGGCCGGTAGTGTGACTGTTGGTGCCTCTGAGGAGGAGCGTGTGAGGAAATCAGAGCTGGAGGGTAACGCTCACAGGACAGATGAAGTACCTCACCTGGGCACTCTGGCCTACTTCCTCACGGGCAAGGGGGATGAACAGCGCTTTGTCCAGGTTTTGCATGGCGTTGGTTATTCCTTGATTTTTCGATTCTCATTAGAGTTGTGGATTCAGAAGCCAGGTCCTCTCTCCTGCTCTCATAGCCTCCCCGTGATCATGGCACAGACTCAAGCCTCTTGTGATGTGCGGGGCGGTGCAGCTGCTGGTGCCGCACATCCTGGCCGCACTCCTTCCATGCCTGTTCAGGCGAGTGCTCTAGACGTGCCGGTGTGCACCAGTCACTGTCCACTTCATTTGCCTGTGGCCCCTCTGGTGATGCTAAGCAGCAAGCATGTATTCCTGTTGCCAGGGCAACCAGGCAGTGGGTCATGCTTACTTCCGTTTTACCCGGACCCTCTGCTCATTTGCATTCCTGGGTGTTTTCATCTTGTGGTGTCATGTCTACAAACAGTTGACAGTTTCCTCTGCCTTGTTTTACCTGTCTCTCCCCAGGTCTTAATGATACGTATACAGTTCCCTGAATTCACTGATATTGCACATTCTGTCTTTATAATTTATCACTGGTCATTTTCCTTCTAATCAATACTGTTCAGTTAACAGAAATGCTCTTAAAAATGCAGAAAGAATGAATATAATGTTATATGTCAGTTATACCTCAGTTAAAAAAAAATACAGAAGGAGAGACAGAGTTGCAGCAGCAGAAGCAGCCGCGGCCACCATCAGTATCGGATGCAGCAGCTGTTTGCTCGAGTCAGAAAATAGAGCCCTGAGGTGGAGGGGCAGAGCCAGGCTGCTGGGGGCCGGAAGGAAGACAGTGGGATACCCCACAAAACTAACCCAGCCTCAGCCACTTTCCTAGCCACAAGCCACCTTCTCCTCTCTCAAGCCCTTACTATGAACATTGAAGAGTGTGGCTTAGGTGGTAATTTGCATTTTCAGATATGAAAGTGGTTAAAACAAGGTCATTGCATCACTGTACTCCAGGAATTGTCTTTTTGTATTTTGTATGTTTTTTTCCCATCATTGTTTCTTAGGTAAGAATTCTTGCTTCTGATTATCCACAGGAACAAATTTCCCTTCATGTTTATCAGGGCAGCCAGGCAGAAGCCAAGGATTCCTCACCTCATCCTTCCAGGAGAGCAACACTAGAAAAGTGACTGAAATAGCAGAAAGTAGACACCAGATGATTGTTAAACAAACACCCAGTCTGGCTAGAGACTATACAGGTCAACCACCCATTCTCTTTAATATCTTAAAGAGAGATGTTAATAGCAACTAGTCAATACATGAGGAGTCTCACATACCCTTCCTGAAACATTTCTAATAGACTGTGGACAATTTAGAGTGTGTCGAGAATATTCCACATGGAGAGGGATTTAGAAATCATATGAAGAAAAGTGGGAGAAAGTGGGCATTTCTTAATAAAAACCTATTCTTTACTTTTGGATTTGTATTATAAAAACACTGAGATTTGGGGACTACTTTTGGAGTATGTAATTATGTTACATTATACTAAAATATTCAGTGTGCCTCTATAAACTGTACACACCTTTAATGCCATTTCCTCCACCCCAAAGACGCACCCTAGATGAAGATCAGTGCCCTAAAGGCCTGCAATCTGAAGGGCTGTGGGGGACAGGCACTCCCAGGAGAGCAGGCAGACTTGTTCTATGAGCCCCCTCAAAGGAGGCTCGTGGACCGCAAGTGTGGTGGCAGAAAGGAGGGCTGCTGGGGAGCAGTCATGGCCCCAGGAGTGGGACCGGCTGCCTGAGAATTACAACAGTGAGTGTTCTGTCAAAACTGCTCAATAGCAGCCACAAGTGGACTTCGTTTCAGATAGGCATAGGTGGTTTTGTTTTTAGTGAAGGAACATGTTTTCAGATAAATTTGCGGGCAGTCCTAATTGCCACCTGGCTGCTCCTGCATCTTTGGGATGGCTGGCAGCTAGGAGCCCCACTGCCCTGGGCTTGCTCTAGAGTGGAGCTGGGCGGTGAGGTAGAAGTGGGCTGGATGAGATGATTTTCCAGGACCCTTATAACCCTAATGTTCTGGGACGTGCATCGTTGGAACCAAGGTCATCTCCCCAGCCTAGTTTACTAGCTGCTTTTCTAGAAATTGCTCTCTGAAGCTGTACTTTCCTCCAATCAGTTAATGAATGTGGCCCAAGGCCAGAAGGCAGGGACCGAGCATTATGAAGAAATTGGAGACTATGATTACAACAACCCTAACGACACCTCCAACTTCTGCCCTGGGTTACAGGTAAGCAGGGGCAAGCACTCTGTCCTCTTCTCAGCAGGGTCGCTGCTTCCCTTGTCCTTTCCTATAGGGCATTCTGAGCCGGTGGGGGTCTGTGTGTGCTTGCCCTGCCCCAGGCCTCAGAACTGAGCAGAGCCGGGGAGCAGGCAGACCTCGGCCTGCCTCACACTGAGCTCTGGACGCAGGAGAAAAGTGGACATGGTCCAGTAAGCCGTCAACATGTGGACGGAGTGTTTAGCCTGTACAAAGCACCTATCTTGGCTATTTTGAGATTTCCGAGGAAAAGAGGCACTCTCCCCACTCTCAGGAGCTAGAGTTTTGGGTGGGGAGACAAAACACATAGACGTGTGATGCCAGTGTGTTCTGATGGGGAAAAGGTGTATGGACTGGATCTCAGGAGACCATGTTTATAGCTCTGATTTAGGTTCACACCTTGTGAACTTGTACAAACTGCTCCCCACCTTTAGATCTTGGTTAGACTATATAACCTCAGAATCCCTTCTGTGACTCTGTGAATAAGAAAGCCTGACAGAGGGGGAGATGTTAGGCCCCATGTGACCCTGAAAGTGAGGAGAGGAGAAAGAATAGGGAGAATAGTTTATTTACTGTATTTTCTTACTTGGAAGAGAGTTAGCTGTTATTTATATTTTAGTGAAAATCTAGTTGGTCGCTTGACCAGTGCTCCTCAAACTTAGTGTACGTAAGAATCACCCAGAGAGCCTATTAAAAAAACCACCTCCTAGGCCCCACCCAGAGATCTGGCCTTTCCTGCTGGGCTCAGTCCAAGAATGTCTTTGTCACCAGCTCCCAGCAGGACCCGGGCTGCTGGCCAGCCAGCAGGTCACATCTCTGGGGTTTCAGGAATGCTTTCTGTAAAATGAGATCCTACTGTTTAGAGACAAAGGACACTGGTGGTGACCTCTCGCTGCACAGGTCTTAGTTAACAGATGCCTCCCTAGTACCGTCTTTGCGCAGCAGGGAGGTGACTAGAGGGCCTCAAAGCCCGTGAACTCTCAGGTGCTCTGCTCTTGCTGGTTACGGGGTCTATTGCAAAGTTGTTTCTCAGCCCCTCACACAGCTCTGCCTAACTCGAAGAGCTATTTCCTTGCCCAGGCCGCTGACAGCGATTATGAAGAGTCCGATGACTTGTTTGTGGGACCAGCTGGAACCCTTGACCATTCTGATCATCCGTCTGCGACAACACAAGACAACGGTGAGGCATCTAAAGTCCACGGACCGGACATCACCACTTACGGGGAGTCAAACCTGGTAGCTGAGCCTCAGAAGGTAAAGACGAAGCCAAGAATTACATGTGATGTTGTTTGCCTGAGAGCTGCTTAGTTTGTCTCTTTTATGAGAATCGTATTGGTCTGGGCTTGATATTTTTTTTTTTCCTTCTTGAGTTTAACCCGTTACTCTCTACGTGGCTGATTCTTAAATAAGGCTGTAGAGAATCTGATTATGTTTGTGTGGAACCAGCCATCTCTCCAAAGATTGTGATAAACCATATGACTAGGGACAAACCTGCTATGCACATGCAGTATGTGAGTGAAGCCTGCAGAAAGAGAAATGGGCTGGGTAAGGGTAGGTATTTAGCTCTGGAAAATCTAGGCCAGATTCAACTCATAAAGTTACCATGTATCAAGCATCTATTCCATACCAGGATGGCAGGCTTGGTGCTTTTATATATATTTGATTCACTTCTCTCTTTTACACTGAATTCCAGGATACCCTTAATGAAGACTGTACTTGATCAAAAAGAAAGTATCAAAAAAAAAAAAAGAAATTATCAATAGATTGAAATGAGAGACTCTATTTTAATACGTCCAAAGAAAGCTCAAACTTGGTAGTGTAAACTAGGTTTATTCATTATTTCATCTCCAGACTTTTTTTCAAAGAGCCGATGGTAAATGTTTCTTTCTTCTACTTAGTTTTACTTGTCACATACCGTTTTCAGGTAAATAAAATTGAAATTCAGTATGCCAAGACTGCCAAAAAGATGGACATGAAGAAGTTGAAGCAGAGCATGTGGAGTCTGCTGACGGAGATCCCCAAGCAGGCAGATGCAGAGGTAACGGGTTCCACTCTGGTGCCCAGCACCAAGGCGGGTGTGGCTTGAGTCTGCGCTCCAGCATCAGTAGCGTGAACCTGAAAAGCAGTTATTCAGAAATACAAGGATGACATCAGACCTCTGAAACAGAAATGGACCAGGCATGTGAACCGGTGGGTCACACAGAAGGTGGTACACGTGGATCTTTTTTCTTCAAAATGCATCAGAGAAATGGTTTGGTTTCATTCCAACACATGCTTTCCTTTTTCGAGTTCCAGTTTCATAGGTTTATGTTGCTGTCAAAAAGTAAACTGGGCCCAGTCTGATCCCTAAGTGTCCTTTCTTCTGTCAGGTAAACCACAGTGAGAATGGAGAAGCAGGACCCTTTGAGGAGGGGGCTGACAAGAAACTCAGCAGTCTCACAAAGGACCTGCAGAAGAGGTGTGTGCATGAGGCAGACTTGGCCCTGCCCCCCCACCTCTCCTCGCCCCTCCCGCTCCTCACAGCTCCCCTCCTCATCCCTCCCCCTCCTCCCCAAGTTGTTTGTGTAACAGAGCCCCCCCTCCACACAGGACCCCCATTTTCACATGTCTTGCAGTTTTTCCATTCCTTCTCTGCATTGATAAGTGAGTTAAGTTAGCCCACCTTTAAAAAAGGCATTTTTCTATACCAGTAGCTGGAATAGAACAGGAAATATTTCCAAATAAGAAACTGGAAAAACCTGCTTCTAAAAGGCTTCTGAATATTTCTTTGTTTCCTATTAGTTTATTCATTGGGTATGTGTATTCATACTTGATGAAAGTGCCTTTGTTCCTGGAGTTACAGTGACAACTAAATACTTCCTGGCCTTTTTTTTTCACAGCCTGCCTCCCCTTATGGCTCAGAACCTCTCCATACCTCTGGCCTTTGCGTGTCTCCTACATTTAGCCAATGAAAAGGTAGGTAGACCTGGTAAGCATGAAGTATTATAGTCAGCCTACAGGAGCTTTTTATTAGTCATAGGTGGCCTCATGGGACATCTTAAATGCAGTGACTTACGTAGTACCTACCTTCAACCCAGAGGATTAACCAGATACTGAAAAATTATTGAGAAAAAGGCCAACATGTATGATTAGAGATGAAAATTATGAGGAGGATCCCAGTGGGAAAATTTTAGATGCTGAAATTGTGATCTGTCAGTTCCCAACTTGAAAACATGTAAGGTGCTTTTACATCACTGGGCATCAAGGCCAAATCCTGCCAGTGTCAAAGTCAGGACAGATGGGAAACCTGGTGGAGAAAAGAGGGGAGCGATGAGGCAGGAAGGAGACAGCCGCTGGGAGAGAGCTGACAGAGCGGAGTGGCTGTGGAGCAGTCACTACGGAGCTGGCGAGACCTGTCTTCTCAGTGGACGCTTCCGGGAGGCAGGCACCCTAGAGAAGCAGCCGGCAGGCCCGGGCACTTGGTGCTGCCTAAAACTTGTCCTCTCGTGTACCCAGGACGAGGCTGGGCTGTAGCACAAGCCGCGAGCGTCGCCAGGGCTGGAGCCGGACACCTTCATGGTGTCACTGCCAGCTTTCCTGAGCAAGGTTGGAATCTCACACCATCCTCGTGGGTGTCGGTACTGTGGGTTCTCCCTTGGGTGTGGTCTCCCAGCCCAGCCAGGCCCTCAAAACATAGTGCCACCCTCAAAGCTCAGAAACATATCCTGAGTCCAGATTCTAAAGGTGTGAGTGATTGCTGGAGGGTCAGCGCTGGCTGGGGCCTTGTGTCTGCTTGAGAGTGAGGCTTTGTCATCCTCCCCGACCCCCAGGTGGACGGGGGCCGGGCAGACGCGCCAGGAAGCATGCGCAGCTGCAGGCTTCATTCTGCCACTGCTTCGCCTCCCGCAGCAGCAGAGACAGCTTTGCTTGCTTTACTGTGATCAGATTTCTTAACGGGCCCTGGAGTGCTCAGCACTGGAAGAATCAGGAGGTGTTCCCAGACCAGGACCTGCTGGGCTGACCTTTGGACTGTTTGAGGAGATCTCACTGGTAGCACTGGCTGACAGTAACCAGATAATCCACTGGGATTCGCGGTGACGCAGAGCTTAAGAGCCACCAGGACAAATCTCACACACCTCTTGCCAGAGCATGGCGCTTGTGCTGGTCCACCTTCTCCCAGTTTTTTATTCCCATCTGGACTCTTCACCAGCCTCTGTTAACAAGCTCCCCCTCAGCCGTCATGGGGAAAGTGAGGGGTGTGCTTCCCATCTTTCGCAGTAGAAGGTGTGCCAACACACGTGCCTGCCCCTAGTGCCTGGAGAGGAGCGTGTGGTCCCAGTGCATTTAGGCCTCCGTGTGCCAGGGGGCTTCTGACAGCTCTTTAATCCTGAGGGGACAGCTGCCTAGGATTGGTGGAGGATCCATGAGGTGGGACGGTCCAAGAGGAAGTGGTAGGCAAGGAAAAAGGCCTGTGCAGAGATGGGAGAGAGAGTGTGGGTGTCACAGCGTCACCCAGTGGGAAGGTTTTGGGCAGGGCAGGAAGGCCGCGCATAGATGGGGCTGATGTACAGGTGCCGTGGTCCCTGGTGGGCTCCCTGTCACTTCCCCCAGCTCCTCCCAGCGCAGCCCTGGGTCCTTTACAGAGATTGTCGCAGGAACCAGGCTTGCATTTTGTTTTTGCTTCCAGCAATTGACAAAGGTTTGGAGCCAGCTTTATCATGCAGGTTATATTCGCTGTTGACAATGTCACTTATAATCATGGGACAAGCCTGGTTCTTTGTAGTCACCACCTTGTTATCTCCAAGTTTGCTTTCTGATTGCTGTATCTTCTGTACACTCGTGTTCACCTGTGTTCGATCTTCCTTCAGAATCTGAAGCTGGAAGGAACCAAGGATCTTTCGGATGTTCTGGTGTGGCAGGAGGACCGAGCTCGTGGGGGGCGGTCCTCGCTCCCACAGTGACCAGGATGCCCACACTTGGGGCTGAGATGCCAGGGGTTTGAGGCGAAGCTTCAGCGACTGCCAGCACACCTTCTCTCCTTCACTGTCCACTCTCCTCCACTGAACCAGCTCCCTGACCAACTCTTGTCCTTAATGGAAGTTTTCTGTTCTGTGGTGAGCACCTAGGAGGGAAGAGATGGCAAGGATACTGTCCCTGATCATGGAAGCAGTGTCCACTCTTCGTATCCACGTAGTTTGTCTCCTCACTGCTCTGTTCTCCATACTTTATTCTTGTAGAAAAGAATTTCCCAGTAGGCACTTGTCCTTTAATAGCTACCAAAACCTTGTATATAAAATATACCATTTTTGTGCCTATAAATGTGTATATAAGCTTAAAAATAAAATCCTTTGAGTAGTTTGTTGACAGACTGGCTGATTGCCCACTACGTAAGTACCAGACCTGGTTTTCACACTTGGGAATGCGGACTTGTTTGGTATCAGGCAGGAAACCCTTAAGGGCTGAGGTGATCTGTCTTATAGTAGAGTAGGGGTTTCAGACTGGATCCATTGGGCTTCCCTGGTGGTCCAGTGGTCAAGAATCCACCTTGCAGCGTAAGGGACACTGGTTCAATTCCTGGTCCGGGAAGATCCCACATGCCGCAGGGCAGCTGAATCCATGCACCACGACTGCTGAGCTCCCGGCCACAGCTGAAGCCCACACACCCAGAGCCCATGCACTGCAGTGATGAGTAGCCCCTGCTTGCTGCAACTAGAGGAAAGCCTAGTGCAGCAACAAAGACCTGGCACAGCCACAAGTAAAACAGATTTTCTTGAAAAAAAGATTGGCTCTCTTGGGCCTATAATTCTGCTAGAGGGTGATAAGAGACAAAAATTCCAATGTTTACTGAGGAACTACTAAGTACCTTCTGTGGATGACATTTTTCAGCCTTCTCAGCATCCCCTGTGAGGAACATACTAGTAAATATTATCCCTCCCATTTTACAGAGGAGAAACAGGTACACGAAGGGAAAGTAACGCACACAGAAGCAGACAGCCAACTGCCAAGAGCTTGGCCTTGAACCAGGAAGTCTGCTTTTAGATCTTTATTATTAGCTACTGTGCTCCACGTGCCCAAGTCACAGGCTCCATACTTGGAGATGTTGATCCAAACATTTCTATCCTTGGCAGGTCCTGGGTCTCTGCCAGAGCACCCTGTCACCATCCACTGGGTAAATAGCTTGGATGTTAGGTCAGAAGCAGTGAAGGATCTGACTGGTGATTACTCCTGATAATAACTTGCTTCTAAACCCCAAAGCACACAAAACAAAAGCTAGCCCCGGGATTTCCCTGGCAGTTCTATGGTTAAGACTTCGCCTTCTAATGCAGAGGGTGTGGGTTTGATCCCTGGTTGGGGAGCTGAGATCCCACATGCCTCACGACCAAGAAACCAAAACAAGATAGAAACAATATCCTTAACAAATTCAGTAAAGACTTTAAAAACGGTCCACATAAAAATTCTGAAGCCAATCTCGTCTCCCGAGGAGTGTACTTTCCAAATTGTGTCCAAGACACCACCCAGGCTCCCGTATGGAGAGGTTTAGACTCGTGGACATGCTTCAGGAGGAAAAGCAGTGATGCTGAGGGAGAATCCACACCCTATCCTGGTGTGAAGCCGCGGCACCTCTCTCCAGGTCGAGGGAGCGCCGGTCCTCTTGCTCTAACCTTGTTCCCGAGAGCAGAGCCAGCCAGCCCCTCCTCTCAGCACACTTCTCTGTCGTGGGGCTTGGCCAGGGCCTATTGTTCAGTTGCTAAGTTGTGTCCGACTCTGCAACCCCGTGGATTGCAGCTTGCCAAGCCTCCCTGTCCCTCACAGAGTTTGCCCAAGTTCATGTCCATTGAATCGGTCTGCCAGTAAAACTGGCAGGGGTGGTAACAGCTTCTTCAGTGAATTCCCGTTCTCTCCACCCTGCTCACAAGCTTCTTCTCCACATGGTTTCTGTGCCAGGATTCATTTGGCCACTGGAATCACTCTTCATGTGGGTTTCTCCCCCATGCAGGCTAATATACCGTTTTTCTTTGTTAATCTGTTTTATTGTTTAAAAAAAAATCTCAGATCAAAAGAGCTGTTGGGAAAGTTGGGCAACTGCATATAGAAATAAAAGCAAATATAAATAGGACCTAATCAAAGATTGGGCTTCCCTGGTGGCTCAGACAAGAATCTGCCTGCAGCGCAAGAGACCCTGGTTTGATCCGTGGGTGGGGAAGATCCCCTGGAGAAGGAAATGGCAACCACTCCAATATTCTTGCCTGGAGAATTCCATGGACAGGGGAACCTGGAGGGCTATAGTCCATGGGGTAGCAAAGAGTTGGACACGACTGACCAACTAACACTTTCGCTTTCAATCAAAGATTTATGAAATAAAATGTTGGGATTACGTTTGTGTCCCTTTGTGAGATTTTCACGGGAATAAATCCTCAAATCAGGGAGAAAAATACCCTTTCAGATTAAATGGGACAATACGCATTTGTACCTGTCATCCCACAGGCCATGGAGGGCCTCTCTCTTAGGGGGTTCATATCTCAGTCCTGTTCATTCTGGATTAAATGTCTCCCCTTGTTTGTAATGTCACCACACCATCTTGGCAATGACAGTTCAGAGTTTGTGTGGCGCTGCAGTGGGCAGTTGGGGGTGCATTTCCAATAAAGATAAACTTCCTTTGTTCTTTGGGGATGGTCGGTTGGAAGGTTTCCTTGTGGAGCTCTGCTAGACAAGCTTATTTTATTTCCCCTGGAAGGAAACAACAGTCTCCCAAATTTCCCTGCTTACTAGGAGGCTCTGGGGCAAATGTCACGATTTCTGAATCCAAGCCCAGAGTATCTTTCCTAACAGAAATCTTTTTCCAAGGAGAGTTTTCCTTGGATGAGAATGAATGGAATTCACATACGACTGGGCTTCCCAAAGTGGGATCTGGTGACAGTTCCTCAGAAATTACAAATATTGCAGAAGCAGGGAGCGGAGAGACCAAGCCCTGGAGGGAGAGAAGATGAGGAGAATCTGAGCTCGCAGAAAGAGCAATGAGGCAGGAACACAGGTCATGGGGAGACATGAAGGCGGAAGGTTCCCGTGTGCCAGGACAGTCCCTTGGTGAGGAAAGAAGAAAAGACAGGTGGACACGCTCAGCTACAATGTGGGTGTCTTGGCCAACACAACTGCTACACTGTGTCAATACGGAAGCCTAGGATGAAAAAGAGTAAATTGGGAGGCTGGGAATGACGTATACTCACTACTATATACAAAATAGGTAATTAATAAGAACATACTGTATAGCATGTGTGTGTGTGTGCTGTTGTGCCCAACTCTGTGACCCCAGGGACTGCAGCCCTCCTGGCTCCTCTGTCCATGGAACTCTCCAGGCAAGAATACTGGTGTGGGTTGCCATTTCCTCCTCCAGGGGATCTTCCTGGCCCAGGGATGGAACCCAGGTCTCTTGCGTCCCCTGCATTGGCAGGCGGATTCTCTTACCCTAGCACCACCCAGGAAGCCAAACTATATAGCATGGGGAACTCCATTCAACAGTCTGTAATAATACGTGTATTTACAACTGATTCACAGCAGAGATTAACACTCCAACAAAAATTAATTTTTAAAAAAAGGGAAGCCCAGTTGGAAAACCATCTCTCTGTTCTTACACATGAATAAGTGCTAAACTTATGGTTCTGACTCTGGGTCTCCGTCACCCCTTATGTTAAAATCAAGATGGGAGTGGTACCAGCAGGACACTAATCAGGAGATAGAAATCTGATACATGGACACAGAAATTGTAGTAAGAACTGCTTACTGGGTATAAAGAATTGTAGATACTGAAAGGATAAGAAGAGAACTCATTCTAAGGTATCTGGTAAGTAAGTAGCAACTGCCAGAAGCAACCAGGCAAGGACTGAAAGCCATGGGCACAAAGAGAAAAACCTGGAGATTTTGAACAGGAGTTCCACAGAGCGGAAACTGACCCGGGCTGATGGCGACACAGTGAGGCTGGATCTCAGTGTTGGGAAATCTACAAGCTGCAGCCTCAGGAAGGAATAACTGCCGCTGGGGGTGGGGTGGGAGTCGCTGGGAACCCTCACAGGATGGGCAAGCGAGTGACGGGCAGGTCACTCTTCCTCCAGCCCTGTAGTCTTCCTCACATGCCTCTCCTTGGGAGCAGCTGGCAAGGTGGAAATGTGGTTTGCAGCGCACTGGATGCAACATCACCCAAAAGAGAATAGGTGGTGGGTTTGGAGCTGAGGATGGTTACTTAAGGGACTTCCCAGGTGATGCCAGTGGTAAAGAACCCTCCTGGCAATGCAGGAGATCTAAGAGATGGGGATTCGATCTCTGGGTTGGGAAGATCCTCTGGAGAAGGGTGTGGTAACCCACTCCAGTATTCTTGCCTGGAGAATTCCATGGACAGAAGAGCCTGGTGGGCTACAGTTCATAGTGTCTCAAAGAGTCAGACACGATGAAGCTACTTAGCATGCACGCATGCAATATTCCCAGAAATGTTTTTTAAGAGAGCCTCTCTTCTATTTCCTCCTAACCACAGTTGAGACTGTGTGTGCGAGGTGAGCAGGAGGCAACCTTGAGCCTGGAAGCCACATCCCAAGGATGCAGAAAGACACAGAAAGACAGAAGGAATCCAAGTCCCTAGTGACCCCACAGCGGCCAGGCCAGTCCCCCACAGCCTATGATAGAATCCCTTTAACGTGGAAACAAAAGCATTTTGTGTTGAAACCACAGTGATGTTTCCCTTTCTGGTAAATGAAGCTGAGCCTCATCCTCAGTGACACAGATGCAATCAGGCAGTTCACCCCTGAGGACACACCAAGAGCAGGTGGGAAGATGCAGGCCAGAAAAGCAAGTCAAGGCAGCAAAGGTATCAAACAGTGGGGAATGAAAGATCTTATGAAGGGCTTGCAAGATTGTGGGGAAATTGGTTCTCTCTTCCCATTGCTGGTAGAAGTGGACATTGCTGCAGCCTCTT